CACGTATTAAACAGTGGTTATTTTGAAAGTTCTTTGGAATATCAGTGTACATTTTCAAGAAATTACATTAACTTGATTTTGTTTCAAATAAGGTTTTCCTTAAATTTAACCTGTGTAAGATTAGAATTGAGAACGGTTAGAATTTACTTACACATCTGAATCTTTTGTTGTTCTTTGCGGACAAAGGCCTCTGCTTTCCCACTTCTTTGTCTTCTAGGTGAACGAACCCTCTTGTTTGTCCAAAACCGCCAAACTGCTTCTGAAAGGAGATGTGTATAAGTGGAAAATATTTCCAGTTGGAAGTTACGAAAATAGTGGTTGTGTAATTTTTATGTATTTTTCTGATTCATAGGATTTACATTATTTGGATAATTTTATGTACATCATTTACTGAAGGGTTTGGATTATACATACCTGTTGCAGGTCAAGATCAGTTAGTCATCTTTAGTTTTTCCAACACTGCCCCAATGGAATGCTGGAAATATAGAAATTAAGGGAAAAATCAGGAACTTTCTAAGTGATATTGTACTCTGATAACAATAAGGCATGAAAATAGAAGAATAAATATCAATTTGCAAGGTGTAGATATGCTAATATCAAAAGAAGCAAAATTAACAAGTTCATATAATTTTAGGTTGACAATGTACATCAATGTATCCCCAACATATCCTATTAAACGTTCTATATATCCAACTTTCTTTGCAAACTTCTTTTGTGGATCTAACAAAATCCACATCTCTTCATTCAGAGTTAAATATCTTGACATTCTAAGTGTAAAATTGTTTACATCAGATGATTAACTTAAATTACCTCATACATCAGTAATCTATCCTATACTGACTTGAAAACCTTTTAAAAAACAGTTTCCAAAAATATTGTGTTGACAATTTATCCACTCAGCAGCACTATAGTATCTTGATAAATATCGTCTTAAAAGTTGGCTGAAAAATATTGTCGATTTTTTTGTCATAGGCTATCTTGTAACTCTAATAACTAGACAAAGAATTTTGAAACTTCACTCTAACCATGCACTAAATCTGGTCAGAGAATTCCTATAAATGCAAAATGACTCACCATCCCCCACTGAATTGTTTTCAGTGGTACAAATATCAAAAGCAATTTTCAATAACAAACTTTAAAATAGAACTTCCAATCATTGGATTTCTTGCAATAATATTGAATACTTCTAAATACGTTTGGAAGTTATCTTGAGTCGTGACATTGCTGGATATATTTGTGGTTCATATTGTTCTTGCAAAGACAATATTTCATACATTACGATAATGAACCATTTAGTCATATGTGACCTGATCGAAATCACAATCGAGTTCTTGAGTTGACTAAGTAAAGGAAGCCATATCTCTTGCCAACATTTCGACACGCAATTGCTTATCGAGTTCCATCAAGTCTATAACTTTAATTTCATATTTATTGTCCTTGCTACGTATGAACATTAAACGTTACACATAACATGAGCTATTGCTTAATTCAAGAAGTTTACACTGTACCTGACATGGTCGTTGAATGTTCCCTTTCTCCCTCCGCGATCGACGACTGCTCCTGTTTTCAAGTTTTCACGTACCCGAGCCTCCAAAGCTTCTAGTGTAACTCGCATTGCCATTTTGATTCAGATAACATGGACAATCGAAGGAATAATTCATTGTGCTGGGTTCCTTGTTGTGTTAAAAACGGGAGACACTTTGGCCCACTTTCAAAACAACTTCTCATGAGTTCAAGTGACAAAATGGCGGCAATTGTGTGTAGGGGCATTGTGGGTAATAACAAATACCTAATCCCTTTTCGATTGGCAGGTATGAAAACATTATCTGACCCAATTTGGTTGTGATTTCAAGACATAAAAGACAAAAATGACCACTTCAGTACATAAAAACATTGCTTTTATAAAATGTCATGAGTTCGCGCGTGCCCACGGATTACCGACTCATTACTTCTACAGCAATTCAATTTTGATAATAGGTGCCCGTTAAGACGAGACAACCCCAAGGAAGCCGACACACAGACCTCGACATACAAATGACATGACACTGATTGTTTGTCAAGTACTTAAACTCACTGTCAAAGCTTATACTAACTTTAAATGCTTTTAATGGTAAACATTACTCACAACCTCAATTCATAGTACAATTCCCTGATATTCTAGTTATTGAGAAATCCGTAATGTATGTACCGGATTGACAATTGTTTGAATATAATTATACTAAACTTCCTAAATGCTTATACTCTTTCACATTCTAAAGCAAAAATAATTAAACCGAGTTTTCCCTCAAATTTCACTTTTTGACGTTTAAGCTTTTTCATTACTACAGTGAAAATTGTTACTCATCGTAGAATATCATCCATCTATTTCGATTTTCAAAATTCCCCATGATATGAAATGACGATAAATAATTGGTATTTAATAACAATTAAGATTGTAATAAATGATAAAATTTGATAACTGAGGATTGTTCATCTAAGCTTGTCAGACTTCACAGTTATTGTCGAACACAAGTGAAACACTATATGTGTCATATATATCAAAATTATAACAGTATAGTGATTTGGTGTCCCACAATATCAGTTCTTTCCACACACTCAACATCTTGGTTCAACAAAAAACAGGTAAATATATGGTTGACCAATGTGTCAACAACTATTTGGGGTAACCTTTCTTCTTGTTCATCTAAGCAATCTTACAAATTACGTACTCTTTCAAATGTAAATCTGCAGACATATTCATTTTGAATTTTAAGACCTCATATTTATTCTACGCAATTACTGATAATGTAATATGATATGAAAGTAGTTCATCTTCGAAACTAAGTTTCAGGAGTTGAAACCAACAGTATACACATGACCATAGTTTCTTGTTGGTTTCCATTACCGGGAACTATAAGTTTACAGTATCCATTATGGATTCTATTAGGAAACTAGGTTACCCAGTTTCAATGAATGGATACCAACTGGATGCCAGGATGGTCAACTTCATGCCAAATACTTGCAAATTTGAAGTTACTCAGTTCAAAACAGTGCTCAGGAAACCAACATGAAACTACATTTTCTGGTTTTATGTTGGTTTCCATTCCATGAAACCTTCAATTGCAAATTCCAGGAATGGAAACCAACAAGAAACCTATAACCTTAGTTTCTTGTTGGTTTCCATTTACTGAAATGCAAAAATCAAAGAATCCAAAATGGAATCTAGTTGGAAACTCAGTTACTCAGTTTCAGTGAATGGAAACAACTGGGATTCCCCGTTTACCCAGTATACGGATGGTTTCCAGATTTCAGGAAACCAAGTCATTTTTGTAGTGTAAGGGAGATGAAAGTAGTCCAAAACTATTGACCAATCAGAAATTAGCTCAAAACTTACCCAAACGATATCTCCTCTGCAAACCACAATTGGATGATAACACCATTATGTTACGTTAATACCATATTCTCCCTAATACCTCCTCCCACATAAGGTTGATGTGACAGTTACTGGAATAGTGTTAAAAGCAGGACCCAACTCACTCACTATATACACAGAGGGCTGTGTATTAGTGGTGCTCCGATTAACTGAAATTATCGAAGATTGGTCACAGTGGCCAAACAACCAAGCAATCGATCACATTTTCTCACAATCGAACACAAACGATTTTGGAACGGCTGTAATAGAGTTTGAAATACTTGATGATGGAACATATCTAGGACGTTGTCAGGGCCGGAAAACATGTTTAATTCTTAGAAAACTCACTTCACTTTCTGAAAAGTCATGACTGAATATTTCTTGAAGAATCTGGGAAGTTTATGTTACACTGGAACTGAATCATTTTACACTGGATGTGAAATCTGCAAATGTAATTTGTGCAGTTTCTAAATCAAACAAAAAACAACAACAGAGAACCAAATGTTTTTTCTTTATACTTATCTGCAACTACAACCTGAATAGGAAAATCTAAAAAAAAACGCTAACCAAGTTTTTTCAATGATTGGTCGTTGGTATTGAACCAATCATCAATTGTGAGATTTCAACCAATTCCCAACACTACTGTGTATACAAGGTGCTTGATGAAGGAGGATAGCAAACATTCTACCATGACTGAAGCAAATTCTGGATTGTGATTGGTTAATCAAAGTCATTTAGAGGTATAAGATCATGTTATATACCTCTGATTTTCCAACACTGTATGTATTTTTTTGATAAATCTTAATAACGTGGTAAAATGGAGATAAACATACTGTGTTGGAAAATCTGTATACAGTCAGGCCGCGTTAATCCGAACGCTTCCGTTTTTCACAACGTACAGACTACTGAAACGACTGACTGACTGAGTTTGGTTTTACGCCGATTCGAACCCGGGTCTTCGGCTTGACGAGCCAACGCTTTAACCACTAGGCTACCCCGCCGCCCCCTACTTAAACGAACCATTATGCACACCACTACAGTAGAGTAACTTCCCTTCCATATATCAAGACAAAAACATAAGAACGTATACATATTTTGATGGGGCCAGTTGCGTTTGCACAAGTGAGACCTATTATCTGAATAAAATCACAAACTAACGACATGTTCAACTCAGAAGTGTCACCTCACTTATCAATTACCATTGAAGTTTACCGATGAAGATCAGCGGTAATCAATGGTGCTCACGAGGTAAGGTGATTATCTGAACCTTTTTGATGTACAGCTGGATTAATGAAGCAAACCCAAGTGTAATTAGCTAATCCATTACCGCTAATTAACATTCGGATCCGGAGAGTGAAGCACCGGATTAATGAATCAACAGTTAATGAGTTTACATAGTAAACAAGATTGGTTACAGCCAGCTACCGTTCGGATATCGCGGGAATCGGATTATCCGGGTCCGGACTAGAGCGGCCTGACTGTAATAGCTCTAAATGTTATTTAAAACCGAACGCGTAGCAAAAACATTCAACTTAAGCGATTTGACCAGCTGAACATCGTAGATAATTTTGCAATTGCCATATACACTAACAGCGTATTTGTGTTTCAGGCAAACACTGTACTGGACATTGTTGTGGAAAACCTGGGGCGAGTTAATTACATACTGGCTGGGTCAGAGATCCTTAACACACAGCGCAAAGGTGAGTTTCTACAGTGTAGGGTGAGTTACTACAGTGTAGGGTGAGTTACTACAGTGAAGGGTGAGTCACTTCAGTGTAGGTTGAGTTACTTCAGTGTAGGATGAGTTACTTCAGTGTAGGATCAGTTACTACAGTGTATGGTTAGTCACTTCAGTGTAGGGTTAGTTACTACAGTGTAGGGTGAATCACTTCAGTGTAGGGTGAGTTACTACAGTGTAGGGTGAGATACTACAGTGTAGTGTGACTCACTTTAGTGTATGTTAACTACAGTGTAGGATGAATTACTTCAGTGTAGGGTGAGTCACTTCAGTGTAGGGTGACTCACTTTAGTGTATGTTAACTACAGTGTAGGATGAGTTACTACAGTGTAGGGTGAGTTACTACAGTGTAGGATGAGTTACTTTAGTGTAGGGTGAGTTACTACAGTGTAGGGTGAGTCACTTCAGTGTAGGGTGAGTTACTACAGTGTAGGATGTGTTACTTTAGTGTAGGGTGAGTCACTTCAGTGTAGGGTGAGTTACTACAGTGAAGGGTGAGTCACTTCAGTGTAGGGTGAGTTACTACAGTGTAGGATGTGTTACTTTAGTGTAGGGTGAGTCACTTCAGTGTAGGGTTAGTTACTACAGTGTAGGGTGAGTTACTACAGTGTAGGGTGAGTTACTACAGTGTAGGGTTAGTTACTACAGTGTAGGGTGAGTCACTTTCGGTGTAGGGTGAGTTACTACAGTGTAGGATGAGTTACTGCAGTGTAGGATGAATTACTTCAGTGTAGGGAGAGTCATTACAGTGTAAGGTGAGTCAAGATATGTAAATGTAATGTTAATTTGGAATAATGATATTTTGAACATTATGTTTTTATGATTTTTGTTCTATTTCTGTTATATTCCATATATTTTCCTCAGTTAGAACAAAGAGAATATGCAATAATACTAACCATCCTGTAAAGTGTGTAATATGTTGTAATGTGTGTTTGTAGGACTGAGGGGGGACGTCTACCTGGATGAAAGGAAGCTGGAAAATTGGAAAATCTTCCCCTGAGTAATTTAGCAAGTTTAACAGAGACAGGTTGACAGGTGAGTACAGAACTTGTTTACTATGGCAGGTGTAACAGGGACAGGTTTAGTCAGACCTCAGTAACAGACAGGTTGAGTACAGTCTGACCTTTACCTGGACAGGTGAGTACAGTCTGACCTCAGTAACAGGGACAGGTGAGTACAGTCAAACCTCATTAACCAGGACAGGTGAGTACAGTCAAACCTCATTAACCAGGACAGGTGAGTACAGTCAGACCTCAGTCGGACAGGTGAGTACTACAGTCTGACCTCAGTAACAGGGACAGGTGAGTACATTCAGACCTCATTAACCAGGACAGGTGTGTACAGTCATTTACCAGACAGGTGAGTACAGTTTACCTCAGTAACTGGGACAGGTGTGTACAGTCATACCTCATTAACCAGGACAGGTGTGTACAGTCATACCTCATTAACCTGGACAGGTGTGTACAATCATTTACCAGGACAGGTGTGCACAATCTGACCTCAGTAACAGGAACAGGTGAGTACAGTCTGACCTCATTAACAGGGACAGGTGAGTACAGTCAAACCTTGTTAACCTGGACAGGTGTGTACAATTAATTACCAGGACAGGTGAGTATAGTTTACCTCAGTAACAGGGACAGGTGAGTACATTCAGACCTCATTAACCAGGACAGGTGTGTACAGTCATTTACCAGACAGGTGATTACAGTTTACCTCAGTAACAGAGACAGGTGAGTACATTCAGACCTCATTAACCAGGACAGGTGTGTACAGTCATTTACCAGACAGGTGAGTACAGTTTACCTCAGTAACAGAGACAGGTGAGTACATTCAGACCTTATTAACTTAGAGACAGGACAGGTGAGTACAGTCAGACCTCATGAACCTGGACAGGTGTGTACAACTTTTGTACCTGAGTATATGGGAATATATTAGCTCCTAGCAAGGAGAATGATATGCAGTTATAAACATCAGTTGAGAAATTTCTAAAGGTGCCCCTTTTTCCTATGAATATTAAATATAGATGGTAGCCATGTACAAATGTGATAAGAAACCATTAAATAGAATGCTTCTCTTCACTATGTATTTTCCATGCATCCAGCTTATCAAACCTGTCTGTGTATAGGTTGTCAAGGTCGAGTGAGTGGAAGACGTTCGAGGTGCAGGTCAACACGCCCTGCATGTACAGGGCTGAGCTGAAAATTACTGATGAGCCGAAGGACACCTATATCTTACTGAAGGTATGACACCTACAGACACCTGACACCCTCCTCATGAACATGTGTCAGGGAGGGGGTGCCAGGTCTATATGATACTTAGCTGATGTCAGAGAGGGGGTGCCAGGTCTATATGATACTTACCTGATGAAGGTATGACAGGTGTTAGGGAGGGAGTGCCAGGTCTATATGATACTTACCTGATGAAGGTATGACAGGTGTTAGGGAGGGAGTGCCAGGTTTGTATGGTACTATCCTGATGAAGGTATGACAGGTGTTAGGGAAGGGGTGCCAGGTCTATATGATACTTTCCTGATGAAGGTATGACAGGTGTCACAGGGGAGGGGTGCCAGGCCTATATGGTACTTAACTGATGAAGGTATGACAGGTGTCACGGAAGGGGTGCCAGGTCTATATGATACTTACCTGATGAAGGTATGACAGGTGTTAGGGAGGGGGGTGCCAGGTCTATATGATACTTACCTGATGAAGGTATGACTGGTGTTAGGGAGGGGTGCAAGGTCTATATGATACTTACCTGATGAAGGTATGACAGGTGTTAAGGATGGGAGCATCGAGTCTGTATGACACCTGCCTGTTGAAGATATGACAAGTGTTAAGGATGGGATGACACCTGATGCAGGTATGACAGGTGTTAGAGAAGTGGGTACCTGGTCTATATGACACGCTACAGGGATGACAGGTGTTTGGGAGGGAGCCACCTGACAAATACCTTAATGCCAAATAATAACAATATAATTTGGGCATGTGTTGTGTGTAAAATACTGTACAGTTGATTTAATATATTTTGAACTCGCAAAACTTGGTGTATATTTAGTCGAGAAATATAAAATGTTTGTGTACAGGGCTGGAAGAAGGGCGTGGTGTTCATCAACGGCTTCAACCTCGGACGGTACTGGAACATTGGACCCCAGAAGACTCTGTATGTGCCAGCGCCCTTACTAAAGACTGGAACAAACCAGGTAGAGTTGGAACAGCCTGGTTAAAATTGTTCAGCAGCATTCACATACAGGAAAAGTTAAAACAACAAATTTCATAACTTCTTTGGCTGTCATTTACTGTGAGTGAGTTTAGTTTTACACTGCACTAGCAATATTCCAGCTATATGACGGCTGTCTGTAAATAATTGAGTCTGGACCAGACAATCCAGTGATCAACAGCATGAGTATCGCATTTGGGATGTTTGTCATAAGAGGCGAATGAATTAAGTGGTCAGGTGGCTTGATTGATGGCATTCCATCATATCACAGTCAGTGCTCATGATGTCGATCACTGGATTTCTCGTCGATACTCCCATTATTGCTAGTTTGCCGTAAAACAACAATACACATTTATGGTCCAGAATTGATGTTTACAGTTTGTCTAGACAAATATGGAAAAATTATCTTTGTGGGTATTTTGGCTGTGAAATGAAATATGAGTCACTGATCAAAATGTGAACAATTGCAGTTGATCTTGAAACTGTGTCCACAAGCTTGGGATTATGTCTACATGATGTACTTGCCCTACAGGTCATGATCTTCGAGCTGCACAAGCCAGCACCTGAGATCACCTTCCAGAGTGCACCGGACCTCGGTTGAGGAGATCGCAACATCTTCAACAGTTCTACCATCTAAGGGTTCTCCCATCTAGGTCAATATGTGACAGGACAAGCCACAAGATTTGAGAGCTGGCTACTAGCTTGGACTTGGCCAAGCCACAAGATTTGAGGGCTAGCTACTAGCTTGGACTTGGCCAAGCCACAAGATTTGAGAGCTGGCTACTAGCTTGGACTTGGCCAAGCCACAAAATTTGAGAGCTGGCTACTAGCTTGGACTTGGCCAAGCCACAGGACCCTCTGGGTATTTAAGCTGGGGTAACATTATCCTCAAGGTGTGGGGGTATTCTGGTTGGTAGTAGAAGGGTGAAGGCCCCCAACTATGTCAGCTTCTCTGTGATAATCTTCTTGGGACATTGTGTTATACAAGGGAACAATTTCAGGGCACCTGCTTCATGGATGATGGAATGCTTGGATCTTGTAAAATATATGTAATTAATTGAAATCTGAGCAACAGCAATCATTCATTACTACAGGAGCATTATGGGTAGGATGTTTGTCGTTTACTCTGATACTATACCTAGAGACGTGAGGTAACCGAGTGGTTAAAGCATTAGCCTGTCATGCAGAAGACATGGGTTTGATTCCCTACATGAGTACAATGTGTGAAGCCCATTTCTTGTGTTGCCCTCTGTGATATGACTTGATATTCTATAATTACAGTATTTATTCAAGTCAGTGCCTAGTTTCCATGAACAATTATTACATTTCTAGGAACAAAATTATGCAACCAGTTATAATCTGTGATAGTATATATATTTCATGATAAACTATCACTTGTATGAAACACAACCGGAGTTATAAACTGATGCTTATGTTAAACCCAATCGATAGGTATGAACAATTGCTAATGTCGAAAATATTTAGATAGAAACATTGTGTATAGCAGAAACAAATAGTAGATGTAGACAATTGCTTATATCAAAGACAATTGGTTGATGTAGACAATTGCTTATATCAAAGACAATTAGTAGATGTAGACAATTGCTTATATCAAAGACAATTGGTAGATGTAGACAAATGCTTATATCAAAGACAATTAGTTGATGTAGACAGTTCTTATATCAAAGACAAATGGTTGATGTAGACAATTGCTTATATCAAAGACAATTGGTTGATGAAGACATTTGCTTATATCAAAGACAATTGGTTGATGTAGACAATTGCTTATATCAAAGACAATTGATTGATTTAGACAGTTGCTTATATCAAAGACAATTGGTTGATGTAGACAATTGCTTATATCAAAGACAATTGGTTGATGAAGACAATTGCTTATATCAAAGACAATTGGTTGATGTAGACAATTGCTTATATCAAAGACAATTGGTTGATGTAGACAATTGCTTATATCAAAGACAATTGGTTGATGAAGATAATTGCTTATATCAAAGACAATTGGTTGATGTAGACAATTGCTTATATCAAAGACAATTGATTGATTTAGACAATTGCTTATATCAAAGACAATTGGTTGATGTAGACAATTGCTTATATCAAAGACAATTGGTTGATGTAGACAATTGCTTATATCAAAGACAATTGGTTGATGAAGACAATTGCTTATATCAAAGACAATTGATTGATTTAGACAATTGCTTATATCAAAGACAATTGGTTGATGTAGACAATTGCTATTAGTGAAAACAACTAAGACAGAAATGTGAAACCAAAAACAAAAAAAAGCAGGAGTAGAAACAATGATTTGTGTTAATTCCAAAATATAATCATGAAATATTTGGTGGGTAAAATACCACTGAAAAGCAAGCTTATGCTCAATCAAACCTAGAATTTCAAATTGACCCCTTCGTGTAGAATAGGGTGATTGTGGTATCACACCATTTTTAGGTTGTTTTCGGGTTGTTCAGCATTATGAATAGACAAACTGCTTGTCGTAGAGTCTGTTAGTATGTACTATTAACTACATGTGGCATTTTGTTTTCCTTAGTCAAGGGAGATAACTGAGTATGAAAGTCCAGTCCCTTGCTGACCTGGGCTGGAAACTGGAGTCATGTTGGCTGGCCTAACGTGTCTGTGCATAGTCCAATCAGAATATCACAGTCTTGTTCATAAACTGCCTTGTAGATGAGGTTAATGACAGGATAAACAAAAGGATGTGTACCATAAACAGAGATGCCAACCTCTCCGATTTTGGTGGAGTTACTCCGATTTTCAAATACAAAATCTGCTGTCCGATTTCTCTTTTAAAAACTCCAATTTTTTGAGACAAAAATCTGAATTTATTCACACAAGTGATTTATTTGAGTAAACACTGATAAAAGCATTCAGAAGCTTAGCGTGTGATCCTTTTGGTGTTGATTGTGTATATTACGTGTTATTGACGATGAAATTTCACAAAGTTTTTCTGAATGCTTTTTCTTCGTCCATATGAAAGTAACAAAAAATGGCAGAGCCGACCACAAGCTCACCCCCAACTCGCACCATTGGGGCTCAGGCCTGGCTTTCAGCCAGTTATGACCCCCCGTTCTCCTTAGATTCAGGGTTGGCATCTCTGCATAAACAGAGCATCAACAAATAGTTTCAAAATCTTGTCATATTTTGTATTCTTGCTCAAGTGATTTAAATCACTTTGCAAGTTCAGACTCCTTTTGAAGTAAATCTTGATTATGGATCGGATTATCTTGAATGATGTTGCTATTTTGTTTGAAGTAATTGAAATGATATGATAGCTGTAATCTGATTGGTCATCTTGAGGGACATAACTCGTAATAGCCACTGGTGACGATACGGTCAGGTCAGGAAATTCCATCCAAGTTTGTCAAGGTTGGAAACTGGACTTTTATCATCAGCTTACATCTTTACCTCAGTAAGATGTTACGATTCATTGAAACCTAATGATTAGTTTTATGGAAAATAGTTCAGAAGACAAACAGTAAATTGGTACTAGTGATTTCATCAAGCTAGCTTGGATATTAATTATTAGTTTTAGGAGAATAGCTTAGCTAGTTTGGTTCTAAAAGGTACAAAAGGCTTAATGAGTAGTGAACTGCTTTGATTTGATTTGATTTGATTTAAACATATTTATTCAAGAGAATGGATTGGTTACAAGTTATGCCAACTTAGTGAAATGGCATGTATGGTAGAATGGAGACAGCTTGTATGATCAAGGGAGTGTTTAAGGGTGGTGTTTAACGATCGGTTTTCCCCGTCCTAAAGCCCTCCCAGGCTACCTGACCACCATACTATACAGCTAAGTTCAAGAGGCTGGGTTTGATGTTTATAGGGCTTGATGTTTATTGGATATAAACTATTATACAACAAGAGTATCATTTTGTCGTTTGAACAAAATTCACTTCAAACTTTTTATTTATATGCTTTTTTTATGTTGGGCTTTGCTCTTTGTTTCATCCTACCATACAAACTAGATCCTTTCAGCTCTAAACCTACCTCAGTATTCAGAGATGGGACAATAATTCATTGTACAGAGTTATGTCCCTTTGCAGCACCAGGATTTGTGATTTGGAACAGTGGTTAAAAATGCCACCTTTTGCTATGCCCATCTCACAGGGCTTTCATTTACTATCATGCTCTATGAGATCCCAAGGAAGCAAAGAATTATGAATGCCATATCTGTATATTTATTATTCTGACTTGTATACTAATCAAGAATATGTTCAGTGTTACTTGTAACACACAGTCACCATCCTTGTTTATCAGGGTCATTAATGCTCTCAACCTACTTTCCAGCATAAGTACATTTATTACCTACGAGGGCGAAAATATCAGGCAAAATATCACTTTGTCATGATGACATGGCGTCATGAACAATACAAGAACGTCACGTTTCTTCTGTGACATTGCGTTCTACATGAGGCGACGGCGGGTAGCCAGCCTATGTTTGAAAGTAGATTTGGATTTATTTTCCTCAATTTGATGACTTCGGTAATAAACAGAATATTATATTCGTGCCCATATCATACTATGTTTACGACATTCATGCCTAAATATCGGTATATCCCTCGCTCTCACTCGGAAATTCCATCATTTGGGCACTCATGTCGTAAACATAGTATGACATAGCCAGTCATATAATATCCTCTATTTAAGATGCACGTCACCACCTCTGCCTCTCTCTCTCGCATCGCAAAATTGGCACAGTGTCTGTCAACAAAGTGATCGTAGAGCAAAGATGATCGTAACTCCCATACTTTAACATAGACTTACGACTGTCGTAGAGCAAAGATGATCGTAACTCCCATACTTTAACATAGACTTACGACTGTCGTAGAGCAAAGATGATCGTAACTCCCATACTTTAACATAGACTTACGACAGTCGTAGAGCTAAGATGATCATAACTCCCATACTTTAACAAGAGCAAAGATGATCGTAACTCCCATACTTTAACATAGACTTACGACTGTCGTAGAGCAAAGATGATCGTAACTCCCATACTTTAACATAGACTTACGACTGTTAGAGCAAAGATGAGAACTCCCATACTTTAACATAGACTTACGACAGTCGTAGAGCAAAGATGATCATAACTCCCATACTTTAACATAGACTTACGACTGTCGTAGAGCAAAGATGATCGTAACTCCCATACTTTAACATAGACTTACGACAGTCGTAGAGCAAAGATGATCGTAACTCCCATACTTTAACATAGACTTACGACTGTTGTAGCGCTATGATTGCTTTGTGGAATGGGACCCTGAATATTAACTTAGCCGTATATCTACATTCACAATTTTGGCCAACTTAGTTTAGATAAAGTAAACTGTGTTACTAAAGAACATGCTTATACCAAACTGACGAAAAAATCAGTGTTTTTGTTTCTTCACATGCTGTACATTTTTGTTAAAATATAAGTGTGACCAAGTGGGGGGTTTGTCTGACAACATATCACACAAGAATGTAGCCAGTTCATTTTGTATTCCGTAACTTTCTGTGTGATGTGTGACTAAGCACATGAAGCAGCCTCTCAGTTTAGCTTCTCTCTCTCTCTGCTCTCACACCCACACTGTCTTTGTCTTAAACTCTCACACTCGCTCCCTCTCCCTCCTTATCCAGAGTCAGTGTATGAAAAAAGGCCCGTCCAACCGCCCGAGACGGGCTAGATTTCTGCCGGACGGTCTAATTTTACAGCTAGCCAGCCAGATAGACGGATGAAATTTTTTTTTATTCAGATAACATGTCCATTGGCACTGTCTATTTAGTATTTAAGAAGGACTGGTTAAATCTCTTCTGGGCTGGTAAGTTTTTGAAGCTACCAGCCCAGATGTCTGGCTGGGTTTTTGGCTTATTTCATACACTGCCTGAGTGCTAACCCCAGACGACAAGTATTTATAGCTTTATCCCAAACACTAGCCCATGTGTCTTACAGGAATCTCCCATTACCTTAAGTACTTTGGGAAACATAAACCTAAACACCCTGTCACATTAGTAACAGACTACGGATAAACCAAACCCAAATTAGTGGTCCTTTTGAGTTCAGCACAACAGTTGTTTACAGTAGTAGTAGAAAGTTTTTATATATGAATTTTTCTGAGTACATTGTCCTTAAACAGGGTAGACATTATGCTTATAGCCATTCTGGTTGTGTTTGAGTGGACATGAACAAATTGAGTCGAGTAACGGTGATACTGCTTAAGGGGCTTACTGCTTAATTATTAAGGGGCAGTGGGGTATCCTGATGGATAAAGTGTCTGCTCGTCACGCCGAAGGCCTGGGTTCTATTCCCCACACGGGTACAATGTGTGAAGCCTGTTTCTGGTGTCCCCCGCCGTGATATTGCTAGAATATTGATAAAAGTGGAGTAAAACCAAACTCACTCACTCACTCATAAATGGGTACACTGGAGTGCTGATCATATTACAGTAGAAGAGACACCGGATGTTGAGGAAGCAACACTGGGGAAGAATGTGTTTAAAGGGGATTTCCAGGTAGTCCGCACATCTCGACTCATTTTGGGCCAATACTATTAAATAATGTATGTTAATCCAAGAAACTGTATTTATTGTTGCATTGTGTTGATCTTAATAACTATGTATGAAATGTTGTGATGTAAGATTTTCCCTAATGAAAACGGAAATTATATATTCATGTATACAAGGATGTATGTATGTATATATCATGTATATCATTATATTGTATGTATCATATATACAGTTGTATTAAGGAAGCTCCATATCTCATGTGTGTGAGGAATGCCTGAAAAGTTTGGAGATCACTTGATCTATAGTGATGAAGTTGGTTGCTGACGATTTTTCAACATACTCACCTATAATATCCAGTGAAGCTGTAGCGATGGTGTAGTGAGTGAGTGAGTGAGTTGAGTTCTACGCCGCAACTGCAATATTCCATCTATATGGCGGCGGTCCATAAGTAATCGAGTCTGGATGCTGTAATGATGCTATATTGATGTTGTAGTGCCTTGATCCCACTGATGTTGAAAGCTTCCTCGTGGTGTAAAACAGCCTTCACAGTCGAAAGTATGTCATCATCATTTGCAAAATGGTTTCTAGATGTCTCTTTCTCTTATCAAGGGGAGGGGTGGGGTGTTTAAAGTGTTCACTCCCCACACTAGGGACCCGGGTTTGATTCCCCACATGGGTACAATGTGTGAAGCCCATTTATGGTGTCCCCCACCGTGATATTACTGGAATATTTCTAAAATCGGCATAAAACCTCACTCATTCACTCAGTTTTCTGGAACTTAAATATTTCAAGTATTATAGCTGTGTTGTTTTTGATAAACGTTTGAGCTATACTGAACAAAACATGGTACTGAATTTCCTTTCATCCACCCTTCCATCATATATTGTTTGAGGGGCAGTGGGGTAGCCTGATGGTTAAAGCGTGTGTGAAGCCCATTTCTGGTGTCCCCCGCTGTGATGTTGCTGGAATATTGCTAAAAGCGGCGTAAAACCAAACTCAGTCAGTCAGTCAGTCAGTCAGTCATATATTGTTTGATGCATGTATCTTGTGCTACTAGAGCTGTCTTTATAGATCATAGACATACTGACTGATTATCGATACATATCAAGAAGTCTTTCAGCAGAAAGTCTGTTTCAACAATTTACATCACTGATGATACATTAATACTTTGATTTACAAATTTTACAAAAGCAGCATCCTGAAGATAATTTAGAAGCATCCAATGAATAACCAGGTACCAGTAACTTTGTTTACTTATTAGCCAAGGAAGACTTACAGGCACAATGTCTCACCACAGTTCTCTAAAAAAATAATAATGCATTTCTCTCAATAATACTATCAGCGTTCAAGGAAGCTACCATATAATTTATTCCACCAAAAATTACGTATTTGGATTACAATATTTAACTAAAAAGTTTGAATGCATTAAATGGACTCTCGCGCCCTCAACTGGCTGAACCTTATTTCAAGCGAATCCCTTAGAGTTATGTCCCTTGGAGCGCTCTTTATGAATATCCTGCGCACAACTTCTGATTGAAACCAGTTTAACAACATTGCGTACAACAGTTTTCGATATACAAAGCATTACATTCCATGTATGGCAAGTGATCTCTGTTTGGAAACTGTCCACCTCGAAATTTCAATTATCGATTTCAGGCAAGTCGTAAGGGATAATATGTCTTTTATTGCATCAATAGGAAGCTAAAGTGAGTGCATATGCCCCAATATATATATTATAGGCCAAAATATTGTCTAAAATGTGTGACATTGTGCCTTTAAATCATTGGTATATATAGAAAGGATTGTCCAAATGGCCCCAAACTGTATCTCACTTCAATACTTTACTCAAGATATTCTCCATGACGTTTTTCTTGGCAATTAACGTTCATAATTCTTCCTTCGACAATATTTCCCGATGGTCAATCTTGTTAACTAGCCTTAGGTAAATTACATATTGGTATCATGAATGTAGTACGTATACATGTTCAGGGCTTGAAGACTACACTGGACAACTGGACAAATGCTTTTGTTTATGTTAGTGTATGTTTAAATCTTGTATATATACTGACTAGCTGAAATGGCTAGATGTTTAATAAGGGCAAAAAACATGAACAATGTATTGGTTACATGTATATTTTCACATATATTTTTTTAATAACATGTAAATTATGTATACTTTCATGTATGCTATTAAGTGCATGTGTGTGGTGAAAGTCATGAACTAAACATGACTCTAAGGGAGGTAAGTGAAGTGGGCTGGAATGAGGTCTTGCCACAAATTTTGCTATGCTTTGTACCATTAATTATTTTCTGACGTCATGTTGGATTGTTGATTGAACCTTTTCGTTTAATTGTTACATATTTTGTTAATCATTTGGGGAATATGAGTATTTGCTGTTTATCTATTTACACATGCTGATTTTTTTATTGCTTACCAATAAAATAAAATCTCTCAATAAAACTTGGTTTTATTTATGTGTCAGTGGTTTAGCAAGGTGCAGCTTGTATAGCTTTTATCAGCCCACCTTATTTGGAGGGGAGGTCTGCTATAGCACAGCTGTGTGTAAATAATCGTGTCTGGACCCAACATTCCTGTGGTCGAGGAGCATTGGGGTAGTCTAGTGGTTAAAGCGTTGGCTCGTCACGCCGAAGACCAGGGTTCGAATCCCCACATGGGTACAATGAGTGAAGCCCATTTCTGGTGTCCCCCGCCGTGATATTGCTGGAATATTGCTAAAAGCGACGTAAAACCAAACTCAGTCAGTCCTGTGGTCGATGTCATGAGCGTCAGTATGCAGTTGGGACAGATGAAATATTACTGAAATACCTTGGAGTCAACTTTGTGTGCAGACTCTTTCTGTGTTGTCACAACCCCTAGTGTACAGTACACAACCCTGTGCACTTAAAAGAACCCACAAATCTGTTAGTATATGACCAGATGGTGGCCACATGAATACATGCAAACACCTAGTTGCGGGTACAGCAATGCAGTAAACTTGGACAAAGTACTGTGACTATGTGTCCCAGTCCACCCAGCTTTGAATGGGTACCTCGTTAGGATGAGAAAGCAACAACTCAGTGCGCCTACTTCCCAGGGAGTTGAGATTGATAATACGATGTGCCGTTGAGACTGACATCCAATGATCGGGGGGAAAAATACCAGCGCCTTGAGTATGCACTAGTTGCGTGGATATGTGCGCCATATAAATATCCTATAATAATAAAGAAACTAAACTCACTCACTTACTCGCTCACTCACTCAATCTCCAAAGCCATAGGGGCGGTGGGGTAGCCTCATGGTTAAAGCGTTGCCTCGTCACGCTGAAGACCCGGGTTCGATTCCCTACATGGGCCCAATGTGTGAAGCCCATTTGTGGTGTCCCCCGCCGTGATATTGCTGGAATATTGCTAAAAGCGGCGTAAAACCATACTCACTCACTCCAAAGCCATAATAGTGTTGGTTTCTGCATCAAACAATAACACAAACCAGAAAGTAAATATTATAAAATAATTTATTGACATATTTGCAGAAAAAAGATTTTAAAAAACCTCTGTATCAAACAAAAGTATATCCAATAAATAAATATTTCATCACAGACAATGCTTTATCACACAGGCTTTGGAATAAAGGCAACTTTCTTGGGTCTTCACATGCATATTTATAAAAACAATGAGAAATGTTTTCCGTGCAGAACATTTACAACAAATATCAAGATGAACCATAATATAACAGGATATCATCAACTATAACTAATAAGCAATAATTTACTCATGACTAATTCATTTTCAATAAATATACGATAATATAACAAGATAAACGACAATATAACAAGATATCATCAACTGTAACGAATAAGCAATAATTTACTCATGACTAATTCATTTTCAGTATATATACTCAGTTCCAAAAGAAACTTAAACTAATGCAGCGGTCAATACAGAGACTGATGTTTGTTCATGAACACATGCACAGAAAACGATGGGAGTCCTTCAAGGGAACACGCAAAAGATCTGTATTCATAAGTACAGGTATGTTTTGTGATAACGTCTATAAGACGTTAGATTCTGCCATTAGATAACGTCCCTTGAATGTCATGGGACATGACATGTTAGTGTCGAGTATTGCTTCCCTTAGCAACCACTTTGTTATCCCCCGCAACGTGTTTTGCTAAAGCACAAGCACCTGCAGATCTTGTAGACTGGAACAGTCTCTATTGACCAGTTCTTATATCACTTTCCATCACCGTGTAATGATTAACAAAAATTATCATGAACTGATATCTCCTTTGTTGGTGTTGTCTAAATATCAGTTTTGTCATGACAGCCAATAATTACTAAATAACAGAAGGATCATGAACTGATATCTCCTTTGTTGGTGTTGTCTAAATATCACAGTTTTGTCATGACAGCCGATAATTACAAAATAAGATCGTGAACTGATACATGTACATGTATCTCCGATGTTGGAACTGCCTCAAAATATCACAGCTTTGTTGCATAAGTTTTCTGGTAACAATGATACAAAAATACTTTCTCTTGGAATCACCTTATCACCAAAGAAAACATTGTGGTCGTCTGTATCCATGGCAACCGGTTATTGTTCCTGATCTTCTCCTGAGGGGTCCGATCCACCTGGCTTCTGTTTCTTCAAATAGCCACGACTGAAAAACACATCAGGGTATTACGTGACACAGAAGTGTATGTCCTGGGCACACACATGTACAGAATGGATACAGAAAAACAATATACAGTCGACTTCTCTCAGAGGCATTTTAGAAGTTGTATAGATGAAGGAAAACCAAGTTCTATGGCTAGTCAACTTCTTTATTGCATTGAGTGCGACGTTCCGGTGTAGGTACTAACATCTCCTGCTTGATAACGGTGTTAGTAACTACATCGAAACTTCGCACTCATTGCAATAAAGAGGTTGACTATCCACAGAACTTGGTTTTTCTTAATATACAGTTGAGCACTGTTGTCTCGATATTCATGGGACCAAGAAAAAATATCGAGTTATCCGAACTTCGAGACATCCGACCAGGGCATATCATCACATATCACTATGAAAGAAAAGAAAATGCTTCTCAGTATGTTTTGATTTGTAACTATAATCCGTTATCAGTAGTGTTTGTCGTAACAGTGAGTACTTCCTAATTAATTCCTTCTTAATTGATCCTAATTAAATAACAAACAAGTGACAGTATCAACTCAATAAGCCCTAATTAGTTTACACTACCACATCCCTTTGATTCATGCCTCACACCGTGTGTAAACATATGGCAACAACCTCTGTTCAGAGGGGATACTTGCCCATGAAAGGTAGGTGAATATCGAGTTTCTTTGCAAATATCGAGTTAAAAGAGTAAGTTGTCTTGTTGGGACCATGAAATAATATCGAGATATCCGAAATATCGAGACATCCGTATCGAGTTATATGAGCTTGAATAATGATAAATCATGAAGGATTTTGCCGGGACCGAGATGTTATATCGAGACAACCGAGATATCGAGTTATCAGAGTTCGACACAACAGTGCTCGACTGTATGTCATATCCTTGGATATGCACAGTAATATTCACTGTACCAATATATTGAAATAATATAAAGAGTTCCTGCAAATTAAAGTAATTTTTAAATCATAAGTTTAAAAAAAACTACACCATTTCTATAATTGACAGAGCCCTCATACTTCTTTATGGACTGGTGAATTTGACCCTTAGTACAGGTCCGGGTAAAACCTGCATCAATCTCAAACTTGTTGTGAGTGAGTGAATAGGTTTTATGCCACTTTTAGCAATATTCCAGCAATATCATGGCAGGGAACACCAGAAGATATCACTACTCTGGTTAACCCAAGAATGTTAACAGTTGTGGGGCAAGACTGAAGTCGTAGAAACTCTCATTAGTCAAGCTGTCAAGCACGGTCAGCCATTCAAGGTGAGGTGAGGTGAGGTGAAATTGGGTTTAACGTCGTGCTTGAGAATATTTCGCTCATATGACGACATGCATGCGTGTGTATGTGCGGCTGCTTGTACTAGCCCAGACTGAAGCTGGTTTTATAGTGCTAGCTCACTGAGATACCATGCCGCAGTGAAGTATGAATACCCCACTCAGACACAGTATACTGACTCCGAGCCGACCAGTCCTTGTTGTACCCATTAATGCCGAGCGCCAGGCAGGGACCAACAAGTACCATATGTTAACGTCTTTTGGTATGACGCGGTCGGGGATCAAACCCGCGACCTTCCGCTCTCCGGGCAGACGCTCTAAACACTACACCACGGAGGCGGTCTAGCCATTCAAGGACTGGAGGTGACCAACATTGGTTAACTGATTTGTGACCAGGACTATGCACAAGACCACATACCACACCGAACACCATTCTAGACTTGAGTAGGACTCCTATTTAGTTAATTCAGTTCTGGGAGACAGGACTACCACTCCAACCAAAGATGATGTTTGATAATAATAATAATGCATATTTATAACTCACACATATCCACACTCGTAAGCATGCTCTTGGCGCTACATAAAAATACATACATAATATATACAGAGTTGTGAAAACGACAATGAATTAGTGGTGGTCCGATTAATTGAAATAATCAAAAATTGGTCGCAGTGACTAAACGACCAAGCAATCGATCATTTCTCATTATCGAACACAAACAATTCTGGAACACTTGTTTTCATTAACAATATTTTTCACATGGTTGGTTTTGTCTGTTACATTTCGTAAGCACTACAAGCTCGTTTCAAGTCATGATTGAATTTATCTTAAAGATTCCAATAAATTTATGTTCCTAACATACTAGTCATCCTTTAAAGATGTGAAATTTTGCCAAAAAAACCCAGAAGAACAACATTTTTTTCCCTTATTTTAATGTGCATTAACAAAATTCATAAATGACATTAACCAATTATTTTCGATGATTGATCGGTAGTAATGAACCAATCATCAATTATGAGATTTTAACCAATTCCCAACACTACAATGAATAGGTGCATAATGCATAAACAATTATAATACTGAGCAAAGAGGTAAGTTGACTTAAAAGAATCCAGAGATTCAGAGTGTTTGAGGTCAAAGGGGAGAGAGTTCCACAAGACAGGAAGAGTAGGAGAAAGTTCTGTAGCCAAAGGTTTTAAGTTTGTAGTTAGATGCTGTGAGAAGGTTTTGCTGCTGTGAGCGAAGTGCCCACACTCACAGTAAGGCGTTGGTCTGCTGCAGTTCCATTATCTTGGCCTCCGTCGACTCCATCCAGGCCTTGTACTTCTCCCCCCAGGATTGCTGCAGCTGTAACAGGTGGTGTATAAATTGTATAACACCCCATGTACATCTTCCTCACAGAAACAACTGAACAAGGATGCAGGGGTACAGTGTTTTTATTGTGTTATCAGTCACATGAAGCATTCTCACCTGAAAACATTACTGAGAGTCAATTGGACTTGAAAATACTTAGACCAGATAAATACCAACCTTCACCTTCAGATTCTCCTCCATCTTCACCCAGGTAAATCCCTACCTCTATCCTCACCCAGGTAAATCCCTACCTCTATCCTCACCCAGGTAAATCCCTACCTCTATCCTTACCCAGGTAAATCCCTACCTCTATCCTCACCCAGGTAAATCCCTATCTCTATCCTTACCCAGGTAAATCCCTACCTCCATCTTCACCCAGGTAAATCCCTACCTACATCTTCACCCAGGTCAATCCCTACCTCTATTCTCACCCAGGTAAATCCCTACCTCTATCCTTACCCAGGTAAATCCCTACCTCTATCCTAACCCAGGTAAATCCCTATCTCCATCTTCACCCAGGTAAATCCCTACCTCTATCCTTACCCAGGTAAATCCCTACCTCTATCCTTACCCAGGTAAATCCCTACCTCCATCTTCACCCAGGTAAATCCCTACCTCTATCCTTACCCAGGTAAATCCCTACCTCTATCCTTACCCAGGTAAATCCCTACCTCTATCCTCACCCAGGTAAATCCCTACCTCAATCTTCACCCAGGTAAATCCCTACCTCTATCCTCACCCAGGTAAATCCCTACCTCTATCCTTACCCAGGTAAATCCCTACCTCTATCCTCACCCAGGTAAATCCCTACCTCTATCCTCACCCAGGTAAATCCCTACCTCCATCTTCACCCAGGTAAATCCCTACCTCTATCCTTACCCAGGTAAATCCCTACCTCTATCCTTACCCAGGTAAATCCCTACCTCTATCCTCACCCAGGTAAATCCCTACCTCCATCTTCACCCAGGTAAATCCCTACCTCTATCCTCACCCAGGTAAATCCCTACCTCTATCCTCACCCAAGTAAATCCCTACCTCAATCTTCACCCAGGTAAATCCCTACCTCAATCTTCACCCAGGTAAATACCTACCTCAATCTTCACCCAGGTAAATACCTACCTCAATCTTCACCCAGGTAAATCCCTACCTCAATCTTCACCCAGGTAAATACCTACCTCAATCTTCACCCAGGTAAATACCGACCTGCAACTTGAGTTTCTCTTCCCTGTCACACCAGCCCGCCTCCTTGACACTGAGCTCCGTGGCCAGGGTGTCCACCCTCTCCCTCAGCTCCTGGTTCTCCACCCTCAGGGCAGCGTTTTCCCCTTCAGCCTCACTCAGCTCCACCCTCAGACAGGCCAGCTCCGCCTCATGATCACACTTGGAGTCCTGAAATTAGGGATCAATCTTGTGAGTGTAGAAATGCTGCTTTCAAAGATTCCTCTTGAACCACTTAAAAGTTGGCCCCAAGTCCGCAGCAAATACTCGTTAATGTTCCCACATCGGGACTAAAACTTCCTATGTTCATGTTAATGTACATCTCATTATTGACTAGTGGTGGTCCGATTAATTGAAATAGTCGAAGATTGGTCGCAGTGACTAAACGACCAAGCAATCGATCATGTTTTCTCATAATCGAATACAAACAATTCTGGAACACCTTTTGCATCAACAATATTTTTCACTAGGTTGGTTTTGTCTGTTACATTTCTTAAGCACTACAAGCTCGGTCCAAGTCATGATTAAATTTATCTTAAAGACTCAAAGAGATTTATGTTCCTAACATACTAGTCATCCTTTAAAGATGTGAAATTTGTGGAAAAAACAACCAAAGAACTACAAGTTCTTTCTTTATGTTTTTGTGCAAACAGGAAAATTTCATAAATGACGCTAATCAATTATTTTCGATGATTGATCGGTTGTAATGAACCAATCATCAATTATGAGATTTTAACCAATTCCCAGCACTATTATTGACAGCTCATAATGCACAGCTGTATGAAACAAATAACACAAAAGCTAAAGAGTGAGATTCCGGGTACAAAAAAAACAAAAAAAACTAAAGCACAGCATTCCTAACTCCAGGTTAAGGTCCCCTATGTGTGAGAGCTCATGGAAATTAATAACAAATGATTCTGTGGCATTTGATTGGCCAACCCAGCAGTATTCCCCACCCACAAACAGAATACTGTTTCCTGATTAGCTGTTCAAATGGGTGGGGCATATTTGCATTATTGCCGTTTTTTATGTGTTAAAGATTAAACAAACAGTCTGTGAAGTTAGTATGGAGGACATATTAATTTGTAAGATGTTAATTTAGTTTTGCATCAATGGACATAATAAATAAATATGCATGAGATTCACTTTGCATAAGACAGCTTTGGATATATTCATAGCCTGATCACTGGACTGAAGTTGGGATCATGTCTGAATGTAACGTTTCCCAGTGTTCACCACTTACTGGAACGCCATTGCCCAGTAATTTCAAACATGCCTTCTTTGTTACTAGTTTGTTTGGTGGTTGTTTAACGCCGCACTCAGCAATATTCCAGCCATATGGCACTGGTCTGTAAATAATCAAGTCTGGACCAGACAATTCAGTGATTGACATCATCAGCTCTGATTTATGCAATTATCAACCTAGTCAGTGAGCCTGACCATCCGATCATGTTAGTCGCCTTTTACGACAAGCATGGGTTACTGAAGACCAATTTTAACCTGGATCTTCACGAATATATTAAATCTTTGTCAACAAACCTGTGCGTTTTGTGTCTTCACTATTTCCAGTTCTTTAGCAAACTGCTTCCTCAGCTCATCTATCTCTTTGGCTGGATCAACAGCGCCATCTTTCTTCATCTCAGACTTGCTTTCTCTAATACATTAAAAAACACATGAAATGAGTGTGTTTTACACTGCTTCCCAGCAATATTCCAGCAATATCATGGCAGGGGACACTAAAAATAGGGGACCGTTCATAATTTATGGCTTCGGGGTGATGACGATTTTAAACTGGGGGTGGGGGGTGGTGGGTCAGCAATTTTGTACAAAAATTATTAAACGATTATGCTTAAATATTATGGGAATGGGGAGGGGGGGCATTGATTTTGTACATGATATGCAAGGGGGATTACTTTGTACATAAATTTTAGGAGGGGTCATTAACATTGTACATGCTTCTGCATAAAATCCATCTCTCTCTCTCTCACTCACTCACTCACTCTCACTCACTCTCACACACACACACACACACACACACACACACACAACACACACACACACACACACACACACACACACACACACACACACACACACACACACACACACACATTATGAACGGTCCCTAGGCCTCACACATTGCACCTATGTAGATATCAAACCCAGGTCATTGGCGTGAACCAGGTCAACCACTGGGCCATCCCACCGCCCCCAGGTCCATGAAGTCAGCATCAACAAGCAGGTTGTTCTGGACTTATTCTAAACCAAACTCCCTTTATGAAGTGTCACATTCACCCTTCTAACAGACAGAACTAGAAGCCATCTCCTGTAAATGTCCAGGTTAGTATTAGTCTTCAGCCACCCATGCTTGTTAGAAGAGGTGACAGGGCTCGATTTAGTACTTTGTTACTTGCACTGGTGCAACCCAATATTGCAAAGTGCAATCTAGCTATTAGCTGAACTTGCACCTGGTGCAACTCAATTTTTGAGTGGGTAAACTCTCAATAAAACATCTAAATAATTCAATACCATATTTCTTACATTGCATATTGCAATAAAGGCAGTGCAACAGGAATTTGGCTGGTGCAACTAGGTTTTTATCTTAGGTTGCACCTGGTGCAAGTAGGTTAACATCTCTTAAATCGAGCCCTGGGTGACTAATGGGATCTGGTGACTTGCTGACTTTGTTGCTGTATGTCATCGTATCCCAACTGTGTAGATTAATGCTCATGCTGTTGATCACTGTATTGTCTGATCCAGATGTATTTACAGACCGATGCCATATAGCTCAAATATAGCTGAGTGCGGAGTTTCACAACAATAAACAAACCTTTCTAAAGGATTGCAAGGAAAGGTTGAAAGGTCAAATTTTAGAGATAAATGACAACATGTATTTAACCTTTGGTCCCAGTAAGTACAGTCATCCCTCACCGTAACGTGGGTCTTGGGGTCCATGGATGACCCCCCCCCGCGTTATTAGACACCCGCGTTATAGGAACTATTACATAACGCGGAACAAAGGCCAAGTAAAATCTTATTTACCACGGACACAACAAAATTGGAAATTTTAATATTTATTGAATATTTAGATTAATTCGTCGAAGCAAGAGAGAGAAGTGCAAATCGTGAGATGGGATAAGTTTAAAAATCTACTATTTCGTTATTGTGCCCAGTCAAAGCTATATCGTATCGTTGGAGGTGAAAAAACAAACTTTGTAAATGAAAATAGTTGTGTACAGGAAACTTGCAATCAAACATCACTAGACATGATAATTCAATTGTTGTTCCTGTTATGCTACCTGTTATTCAACTAAGCCGGAAATAGCAATCAGCTGTGCACAGATGTTTTGGTCCAATGTACTGGTAATTCAGTTAAAAAACGATCTGATAACATAACATCAAAGCATTTCTATTCCATTATCAGAATAATTTATATCTTAAGCAGTTATTTTAACAGAAATATTATATATTGCTATCGTATTAGTATAACACATGTTTTCTACGAACATATTTAACATAATAATTAACATAGGCTAAGCACTCAAATGTGTTTTCTGACTTCATACGTTCTTGGATGGCGGTATTTACCCGTGCAATAACGCGGTGTGTTGCATCACAGCAAACATTGTAAGACTCGGCTGATGGCAAGTTGTCTTTTATAAGTTATTACGATGTTTCGCTGTTCGTCTGATTATTATTGAGAAAACCCTGCATGTTTTAAGCATCTGAAAAACCAGGGATATGTACGATAATCACTGTTAATTGCAATCTGCACTGAAATTCACTAGTTAAAAACTTAAGCTCAACAGCGGATTTGTTGATGTGCTATTTTCAATGACGTGAAGATGTGTGATCGCTGGGCAACTTTCTTTATGGGAGCCATGGATTACCCCGCGGTTTAACCGAATCTGCGGTATCGCGAAGAGCGTTATTGTGAGGGATGACTGTATAAAAAAATTAATGAAAATTAGTCATAAAATGGATTAAACATAGTAGCATGCTGGGCACACACTATAATACCTTCTGCCAAAGGGAACTCCAACATGTATGACCTCCCGTTCCCTCTTATGTACAGTGGTGTTCTTGGCCCTCCGAAGGTCATCTAGTCGTTTCCTGAGGCGGGTGACTTCGTCCTCCAGCTGCAGTGTAACGCGCAAACACAGTAGTTATCTCCCTTTGATTGCAAATGCTGCATCTACTGAAAAACAACCTGACCGGACTTCTGGGTTTTGTTATTACTTGTTGCTTAATGCAGCTCACATGTCAATAATTGGGTCTGGACCAGATAATCCATAGACTGATGTCATCAGGATTGATATATGTATTCGGGATACAATGACATGTCTCGTATCAACAAAGTCTGCAATCCTGACCACTCAATCCTGTTAGTCGTCTTTTATGACAAGAATGGGGATCTGCATCCTTGATAATCTCCAGGGTATATGTTACGATCACTCTCCACTATACCCTGGATGCATCCACGGCTTGGGGCGATGATGTTATTACCTCCCTTTGCTGGCTTTTTATCCAATCAGGTGCCTACGCTGGGAAGTTGAGCGTACCAATCACAACTCACTTTCCCTTCTTAAATTATCTAACCGTTTAAACTTGGGAACACAATTGATGCAGAGGCACTCTGAAAGAAGTAGAAGGAGTTCTGTCATATATTTTTTTAAAGTTTCAGATCTGTCAGTTTGTCTGTATTATTTCCCAAAAAATCTGAGTGGCACTGCGTACAAACCTTAAAACTGCGACCGCTATCCTTGTTGACACTGGCAAGCTCGGTTGTAATGGTGGCTTAGCTGATTGGCTACTGTGAGAATGCAGAACCAGCCAAGGGAGGTAATAAAATCATCGCCCCCAAGCCGTGGATGCATCCAGGGTATAGTGGAGAGTGATCGTAACGTATATCCTGGAGATTATCGAGGATGGGGGATCTGAAGACTAATTCTAACCCTGATCTTTACAATAGATGTCTCCTAGATCTATCTGCTTTATATTGCAGTTGAAATGCCAGAGGTACACATAATACTTATGTGAAAACTCAATTCTAATTAAGTCTGTTGCGTACAAGTACACTTGAATGTTTGAAAATACTCAATAAATTTGATGTTACATGCGTACACACAAAAATAGAAAAAATAACTGAGGTATATTGAAGGTTCTATTTCAGCACATGAACTTGGCAACTTGCAGTCTTTCTTGTCGTTTCTCATATTACAGATTAAATTTAATAACAAACACGTAAACCAACATTTAAACGTTATTACAATTACTGGAAAATGGCAAAATACCCAATTGAGTTTGAGTGAGGTAGGTACACTTTATTTGGAAAATTAGGATACCCAAGTGAGATGAACACAAGCGAGTACGTAACTCAATGATCCAAAAGGTTATCTGTAGCTCTGAATGCATAATACAAACTATTGTTATAACAAACTAAAATTAACAGTCACCAATTTTCAGGAACTATAGAAACACATATTGCACATAAGTAGTTGAATATACACAGGGTTGTATAAATGTGGGACCGACCATCAGAGGGAAATAACTTAGCTACATCGATACACACAGAAAGTTTTGCTTCATGATGGAGACTAAATAACACCCACCGTCACCGCAAGGTATTTTTATTTTGAATGAGAGAGTGAGTGCATTCAGCAATATCCCAGCTTTATGGCGGCAGTCTGTAAATAATCGAGTCTGGACCAGACAATCCAGAGATCAACAGCATGAGCATCGATCTGCGCAATTGGGTGAGGTGAGGTGAAATTGGGTTTAACGTCTTTCGCACGTATGACGACGTGCATGCGTGTGTATGTGTATGTGCGGCTGCTTGTACTAGCCCAGACTGAAGCTGGTTTTATAGTGCTAGCCCACTGAGATACCATGCCCCAGTTAAGCATGAATACCCCACTCAGACACAGTATACTGACTCCGAGCCGACCAGTCCTTGTTGTACCCACAGGGACCAACAAATACCATATTTTAACGTCTTTTGGTATGACGCGGTCGGCGATCGAACCCGCGAACTTCCGTTCTCTGGGCGGACACTTTAATCACTACACCACGGAGGCGGTCCTGCGCAATTGGGAACCGATGACATGTCAAGTCAGCGAGTCTGACCACCCAATCCAGTTAGTCGCCTCTTACAACAAGCATGGGTTACTGAAGGCCAATATTGTAACCCAGACCTTCACGGGTCTATTTTTTATTATGTATTACTGTGATGAAAAATCACAACTTGACAAATTCTGCTAAATATAGGGCCATTTTACAGCAAATCACTTGCAGTTAGGGTCTTTTCAAGCCTGAAACACACTTTGGAAATTTGTAAGGTAAAATGTCCAAATTTCAGGGTTTTTCAAGCCTGTGTGAACCCTTATTAACATGCACAAAACACTTGGAGACATTGGTAAATTCAAACAGAAATTCATTAAGGTTTCAACTGGTGTTGAAAGGTGAATACCGAGGTAGTTACATCAGCAAATTGGAGTATGAAAAAACAAGTACTGAAGTCCCATTATTTCTACCCTGGGAGAGACTAACGTCTATTTCAAATGAAACCTCCCAGCACCCATTACTAAATAACAACTACACATTTGAAAGCAGATGTTGTTTTATTTGATGTTAAAAGAATTATTATAAACACTCTTGAAAGATCATGGTGCCCCTGAAGACACTGCATTATTTAATGTATTGTGGGCCTACTGCCTTTTACTGGAAACAACAACTCTGACTCTGTTGTTTGACTTCGAGTATGTAACGAGTAGATTATTTACTATTTGCTGTTTGTGTACACAACCAAGATTAGACTACTCCTGCTCGAGCTCACGACCTTATGATCTGAGAATTCCCGGTTCAAGCTGCACAAACCTATTCACTGCGCATGCGCCATGAGCGCAGAGCAGCACAGCGGCGGCTGTTGAAACCATTTTTGTGGTGAATTGAGTGAATTGTTTGAACTCCGATTTCGCAGGAGATTTTCGCAATGTAAATCTACTTAGAGCCCTTGACAGAGAATCACTATATTTCTCACCTCTTTTACTTTCCCTTTGAGAAATGCTTCACTTGATCGTTGCTCAACTTCAGTTGTACTTGTGCGACGATTTGAGGCCATATTTGGTCATTCCTTCATTCCTCGTAAGGCCAAATTCTGATTCCATGCAAACAGACAAATGCATCTCACTTTTTGTAGTAATTGAATTTCATGGCATAATATTATCAAACTGTTTCTGAACACAAAATCAAATCAAATCATTTTTTCAGTTTCCAAGAAAAAAATCTGTTAAAATGTGACGAACTTAATACCTTTTTCGCTTTTAACCCTTAACAATGTAAAGACAACACAAACTAGAAGTGTTTGCATTTATTTGTGAAAAGAAGGGCCGTATCCTAAAGATTTGTACTATGTTTAATGTTAATAGCATTGATACATTTTGAGAAACCACAGTTATTTTTCTCATTGTTTTCCATCTCATGACCTTGACATTTAACCCTTTTATTGCATGTGCTAAACAGTGGCAGATCCAGAGGAGGGGGTTCAGGGGGTTCAAACTCCCCAACCCCTTTTTTTTTGAAAAGGACTAAAGACCACATTGAAGTTATGTTTTGCAATGGCGGAGCCAAGGTGGGGTTCAGGAACCCCCTGAACACACACACGCACGCACCCCTTGAAAATTTCAGGATCCACTCTATGATGAACTCCCTTGAACAATTTGGAAGATTTCTATTTATCGCTGCAAATAATGCAGTCATCAGAAAATCACTGGCATTACTAGATGAAATGCACCATAATCATATTTCTCTCAGTTATTTACAGGTCGCTCTCATGCCGCTGAATATTGCTGGCAGTGCGGCATTAAACAAACGAACAAATCCACTTATGCGACAAAGTTACAAGTGAGAGGTGGTAGGGTAGTCTTGTAACCCTGTACATCATTGTCCTAAATTAATGATCCCTCAAAATCTGATCCAATGAGACCTCAGCAGAAATGCATCCTAGGGGCTATGTGTGCAACAACTGTCATGATACCACTTGTACTAGAGGTCACAGTAAAAAGATTAGATTGGAACAAAATATGTCTGCGTATTATTTCAGAAGGTATAGGATTCCAATCCCAGGTAACCGCAGGCAGCTTAGTAGTTTAAGGGTTCACAAGTGAAGCTGAACACCTGGGTTAGATTCCCACATCAGTACAATCTGTGAAGCTATTTTAAGGCATCTTCTGTCGTGATATTGCTAGAGAAACTTATTGATAATATGTGTTTATGTATTGACATCTTCAACTCCGATTTCGCACGTTTTTTTTCATCACGTTATTTTTCAACTTTATAAGTTGAATTTGCATTTTTGATGATTTGTTTGGGTAAGTCCATACCGAAAAGTATCAGAATCTGCAAAGTTTTACGTTGCATGTGATCTTTAAATAATGATGGGATAAAACGTTTTCATTGGACCGGCAAAATATTATTAGGCTTACCAGTGCAGATATCAGACTAGAATTTTTTTGTGAGTATATGCACTGGAAAGGATTCCCTGCTTTCTGGCAATAACATACATAGTGTTTTCCTAGTTAGGGCGGAACCATCTAATGGTCGATTATACTTTTGGTGCTTCTCACCACCTTGTTATCGAAATCTGAACGATTCAACTTACATAAAATCTGGGCCTATTTTGCTTGACTCCGAGTAAACACAAGGAAGGTTGAAAAATAAGAGTATGACATTGACCTCTTACATACTTAATACATACTTCACAAGCAGTCAACTTTAAAGACTGACAATGCTAAACATTCAAGCTCCCACTTCCAAGGCGTTTGTATCAGCTGTGATCGCAGCAGCAATGTGTTTACAATGTCAAACTCAAAGGTCAAGGCCAGATATCGATCGTTATTTTTTTCATTATTTGATGTAATTAGTGTGTAAATATATCCAGAACAGTTTTTAATAGTTCCATTTCTTTATTGCATGTTCATGATTTTTCTTTTACAAGTTATTTTGTTTTTGAATTGTTCGTGACAGCGCCCCCTACAGTTATATGACGGCCATATTAGATACCGATATTGGTAAGTGAACCTAGCGAATCCAAGTCATCCTCTATGTTTAGGGATAGGACAAGCGAAGTGACGATCTGGAATAGAAGTAAAGTTATTGACCTTCAGGTTTCCATTTCGATTTTAGCTTCAACTGTTTCCGTAGCTGAGAGCTGCAACATTTTAACGCCTACCTGGTACAGTAAAATTCTAGATTTGTTTACAGCGTGAAATTGAATACCGGTTATTGTGTCATTTCCCATTTGTACATATAAATATTTCGTTCATGTTAAACGGATTTACTCTGGGATGAAACTATATTTGATGCATTAGTATCTTTCAAATGATTTCCATAATTTCGACATTATTATGCATGGAACATAATGTCAGTTGAGACACAGCCGACGCCGTGTATGTCAGATAACAGTATGTTGAGAACTGTTAGGAGCAACGCTGAATAAATGCCATATGATGATGTTATTGCAAGCGTATTATAAATCAAACCCCAAATCTGGTGTTTCAGTGGAATACTGATTGAAGTTTGCTTCATATCACTGATACAAGGAGATCAAACCCCAATATCTGGTGTTTCCAGTTGCAGAATACTGATTGAAGATTTGGAAACAAGCTGATTATCAAATTGTGACAAGGACTGTCCAAACACCAGATATAAATAGTTGAACCTACACTTTGGTCGATGTAAGACAAAAACACATTTTGTGATCCTTGATAAAGGAAATGAGTTAAGAATAGTGATTACTCAAATGATTCTGCTAAGATAGAACAATCAGGTACTATTTCGTTTTCAAATTGATCTTGTACTTAGCAGAATGTCATTATCCTTTGTTGTTTTGTCAGCTGAGGTAAAAATATCTATGTTTGGCTTTTTTTAGAACCACAATCATACTACTCTTTGGAGAATTAGTAGTAGAATTCAACTTAAACTGTTGAATCATGAATTGATATGGTGTTACACCTCTTAGTCCTGTCTGGTTAGTATTTGAACAGAATTTACCAGTGAATGTATGCTTACGTTAGCAGGTGAAGGATCTAGGAATATCCCAAATTTGAGAAAATTGATATATTTTGTCAAGTAATATTTGCAGTATTATGAATGTCTTCAGATATTTTAACTGAACAGCATTTTGGCATTGATTCCTCTGTAATGTAAGAACATTAGCTTGTAAACATTGCAAACCTGAAATAGGAGACTTATTCCAATTAGAGATTTTGACGATCACTTTTTCTGTAAAACATGCTTCAATAACAAATATTTGCGACCCACCTCAATCCTGACTGGTATCATCAATCGCAAACATCTGTTTGAAAATAGCTGTTTTTTATATTTAGTTTTGACATTTATTGAAACAATGCCTCCCAAACTGTCAACGTGTGAAAACAGAGTCTAGAAGTTTGTGTTTTTCTAGAGCCAACAATTTCACCTATGTTGTTTTCCTTAAGGTATTTGCTCTCTCATTTCAGGTGTCTCTATGCTGTTGTGATACTTATCCTGCGCTTATACGAAATTTGGGAGATCATTGGACCTTCCTCTATCCAGTGTTGACGTATTTGTATTGACAAGATGGCTTCCCCACAGGTGGAGCTGCAAAATACAAACAACCATACTAGTCATGCTAATGCTGCCGACATCAAGGCTTCTGCTGCAGCAAAGTAAGTTTTTGGTCCTTGGCAATATGCACATTCCACTGATAACCAATGCTGTGTGTTTTGCTGGCTGTGTCGACAGTATGCAGTAGCTTAACTAACCAACTAACCTATACTGTATCTAATAATTTATGGGACTAGTACAAGTCTCTTCCATTAACTTCCGGCATGGTTTCATTTTCAGTATTCTTTTCTATTATTGAATTCATTGGGCATGAAGTCAACTTTCGCATGGAAGCAGAATGCATTGACTTAGGGTACAAAAAGTTAAATACATGTTTAGTGTTTATGCTGCTAATTAATAATGTTCTTTTGTGCCTTTCACTTCAGGCATTAATTTCACTTAGAGTTGAGTATCGTCTCCACATTGATTGGGGCTTAGGGTGAAGTCTTGTGCTTTAGAGCATGACAAAAAGATTTGCAAAGGTGTTTAGGTAGTGAAGATTTGACTGATCAAATTAGTGAAAAATATCATGGACTTTCTTGTTATGATAAAAACAAACAAGGAATTACACTGTTTTATTTGAATTAACATTGTTGAATTCTGTAATGTGTCTATGAGACTCCAATTTGTACTCTTACAATGAAATTTCTGGTGTCACCCATGCCGTGATATTGCTGGAATATTGCTAAAAGACGTAAAACTAAACTCAGTCAGTCAGTCCAATTTGTACTCTTACAATGAAAGGTTATAGCAACTAACCTCAAGGATGGCAGGAACCTTTATAACTTCAAACACTGACTAAAAGGTAATACTTTGAGACCTGCATCACTTTTGGCTTTAAGTATCGCCTTTAAGTCTGTGCTTTCCAGATTCCTGGTAGCATAGTATGAATGGTTTTGACATGTTGATTGTAGCTGAAAATGTAAGCTATGGTGTCTGTATTTCCATTCTGATCATTCCCCACATGGGCACAATGTGTGAAGCCCATTTCTGGTGTGCCCCACCGTGATATTGCTGGAATATTGCTAAAAGCGGGCGTAAAACTAAACTCAGTCAGTCAGTCCATTCTGATCTTTGTTAGAAACCGAGTATTTTGGCTATTATACGTTCACAGCATAACTGCTTGCATCAGGCACTAGTGTAAAACTAGGGTCGTTTGAAATATATATTTGTCTTGTCACAGGGAAAGTGGTGCTATGGTTTGTACTGATCTAACTGATGAACGTGTAGATTGGAAGACTTACAAATGACATTTAATAATATGTTTGAATCATTTGGTATGTTATCATTCACTCTTTCTTTCAGTGACCAAGGTTGGAAAGCCCAACTTAAAAAGCCACCAAAAGATTGTAGAGTTAGAACCTCAGTGAGTATTCAAGATTGTTACAAAGTGCCTGTCATGTTGATTCCAACTTGTAATTGGCCTTCAAAAACATTTTTCTTGCCAAATTTGGCAATTTAATGGACCTGTGGACAGATTGGGTGAAGTTATCTATTAGGGGCCAACATTCATTCATTTTGATTTATGTTTATGATGTTAATCACGTGTTTCTGCTGGACCAGAGAAGATTGTTTACAGGCCAGCATCACATGGCTTGGACATTACTAGTGGCAACAATAAACATGTTCACCAATATATTGTTAACATTCATATTATAGGCTTGTTCCGTGCTGTTGATGTTGTTGGAGAGATGTTAAAAACATATTTTCTGTCATTTCAGGATGTGACTAATACCAAAGGAAATGAATTTGAAGATTTCTGCCTGAAACGCGAACTTCTTATGGGTATATTCGAGAAAGGTTGGGAAAAACCCTCCCCTATTCAAGAAGCTAGCATTCCTATTGCACTAACAGGGCGTGATGTTTTGGCAAGAGCCAAGAATGGTACTGGGAAAACGGGTGCCTACGCAATTCCAATTATAGAAAGAACGGACTCTTCACGAGATGAAGTACAAGGTAAATAAATTCTCTTGTGTATTTGATATCCAGTACTGTAGGTAAAGCGTTTATATACATGAGTAAACTTATGTTTATACAGTCAATGTACAGGCTGACAGAGTTGACGATGTTTAGACTAGGTTGATGTACAAGGCGTGATGGTTGCTTACACAATAAGGATAATGTTTACACATTGCAGAATTAACAAATTTGATAACCTTGTTCTCAGTTTATGGCCGGTTGTGGTCTCTTGGATGTGAATGGCTTGTTAGTTTTCTGATCTTGTAGTGGGTCTTATTGCTGGTGAGCACATTGGTACTGTTCCAAAGGAGAGCTCAAATGCTGGCATCAAAAGATTTTTACATGCTGTGTATATGTAGCCTTGTACTAGCAACCCAGCATGAACTTCCTAAGATGATCATACACAGATAAGGAAAAAACAATCTTGATGTTTAAAATAGGTGTTTGATGGTAGCATGTGTTTTCCTGTGATATACAGGTATCTTTTCTGCTTGAATTTAAAAGATTTGTATGTTCTTTATAGATCACTTTTTACCTTGGCTTTCTTTCTGATTTGAGAAATTTGTGTATTTCAGCAATGATAATAGTACCCACAAGAGAGCTGGCACTCCAGACTAGTCAGATATGTATAGAACTGTGCAAGCATCTGGGCTGTAAAGTCATGGTCACAACCGGTGGAACAAATCTCAAAGATGACATTATGAGGTTGTATGATCCAGGTGAGTTGAGCAGCGTTGATATCTGATAATGACAGTTACAGCCAAATAATCAGGGTCTCTGATTGTCTAAATGTCCTTTGTGATAACAGTATGATACAAAAGAGACTCTGAACATAACAGATCATCCACTTTAAGGTTTGAAGTACATATGAATCTGTGAACTCCATTTAATGATGATTACTTCAGTTCTGCTACTGAGACAAACTGCTGATGTTACCAACACTGAAAATGGAGTGAGCATTTACAATTATCAATCAAGCCATGACTGATCAACAGAAATGTGTACCACACCACATGTAGAAGTTGTTTTGCAGAAATAACTCATTCATAGAATATGAAACCACCATGGTCTTATGGATAGAGTGTCTGTTTTTTTAAATGTCAAGGTAGAATGTTAACTCAGAGCAAAACTGAATATTTGTCTCAATTTGACCTTTGTTTTTCAGTGCATGTTATTATCGCCACCCCAGGGCGTATCCTTGATCTCATGAACAAGAATTTGGTGAAGATGGGCAAATGTGGCATATTAGTTCTTGATGAGGTATGTGGAATTTATTTGAAATGATCAACCAGTGCAGGCATGTTTGTGATACTTGTTTAATAATTGACGTCAAAGGGACTGTTGCAATAGAGTTAAAAGTTTAGGGTTCCAAGGTTAAAACACTATTACAGAAAACCTCAAGGATACCCCTGAATTTTCCAACTCTGTTCACACTTTGATAGTGTGATTTAAGTTAAAAGAATTGTGATCTGGCCATTATTCTGTTTCTCCATTTAATGATGAGACATGATTTTAAATCCTGCTGATTCAAATGAAGTTCTTTTTGGGATTATCTGAAAATGGAGAGGTGAATTTTATGGTGCAGTTGTAGTTAACTTTGTGGACATATCCCAGTACCTATCTTATGCTCACTGATGTCATTGATGCTGTTTTGGTGTGCGTTAGCAGTTAACCATGGTAATGTTATCTGTTTTTCCTTGATGGCCAAACCCATGCAGATCTGTATTAGAATTGGTCTTCAGCAACATATGCTTGTCGTAAGAGGCAACTAAGGGGATTGGGTCGTGTTCGCTGACTTGACACATGTCATCGTATCCCATTTGCGTAGAACAATGCTCATGCTGTTGATCACTGGATTGTTTGGTCCAGACTAGATTTACAGACGGCCACCATATAGCTGGAATATTTCTGAATGCGGCGTTAAACAACAGTCAATCAGTCATGAAGGCCAAATGTCATTTACTGGTTGTCGTTGCTGTATCAGCTGTAAACTGGTGGCAAATTTAACCTCAGTGCAGTGCTTTCCTTGATTTTCATGGGGCATCTTTTTGTCCCTGATGCTTTTATGAGTGAGTGTGTTTAGTTTTATGCTGCACTCAGCAATATTCCAGCTATATGGCGGCAGTCTGTAAATAATCGAGCCTGGACCAGACAATCCAGTGAACAACAGCATGAGCATCGATCTGCGTAATTGGGAACTGATGACATGTCAACCAAGTCAGCGAGCCTGACCATCCGATCCGTTACAACAAATGGGTTACTGAATGCCTCTTACAGGTCTGATGCTTTTATGGTCATGGGTGTGTTTTAACCCATTCAACATTTACTGAATGCCAATATTCTAGACCCGGAGACCTTCGGACAGGCAGTAACGTCTGATGAGGCATAATTTTATGGTCAGTTATTGTGTGTTTAACCCATTCAACACTGCAGGCGAATAATGCACATTTGTCTTTTCCGAACAGCCACAATGTCACCAAATGAGTCCCTGGTGACACGGAGGCCGATTAATCAGCCAGGCAGTAGACTGAAAGTCCGCTCTTTTCCGAGCAGAACTCTAAAAGACATATATTTTTAGGAACCTACCTGACTTATGATTCATATATTTAATCTATCACATTTCACAATGTCGGAAACACTTGATTAAATTTCAATTGATCATATATTATCGGCAGAATTCAAATTATAAACTATCATTTTATCGCAGAATCAAATTATAAACGATTTTTCTGCAATCTTATTTTTGCTTTGGCAGCTGGTCCACAATAACATTGGGTCCATGTAACAATGTTTCGAGGAAATCATTAATTAAATTGAATAAACTAATTAATAAAATCAACAACATCATTCATAAAAATTGTCAAACATACATAGAAAATTACTATTTCCATCTTTTTGTGCGATCATGTAATGTAAGTCAAGTCACTGACAAGTGACATCTCGCTCGCCGCCTCAGTCTTCAAGCATTTCGGACACTATGTTTAATGCTAAAATATATACATGAAGCATTTTGTCACAGGTCATAACCTAGCACGATCGTCCAATAAGTTCCACAATTTACATTATAGGTAGCAATTTCTTGCTTAATATGTTCAGAATAGCATTATTCTACCCAAAACTTTCGTCTAAATCTAAAAGTTTTCGTTTACGAGGACGGTATCCATTACCGTAATATGATTGGCTGCCTTAGGTCACGTGTCTGATTTTGACTAATCACGACCCTTATAGCAGACTGTGACGAAAAAGCGTCATTAGAAACCAATCTTTATCCAATAAAATCGCTTCTTACAACTGTGAAAATACTCTAGGCTACAGTGAAATTGTTGATGTTCAGAGCTTTCGAACGATACCCGACATCAAACGATTCGCCTCGCATGTTATTCATACGGAGCTTCAAATACGGAGGTATTTTCCGTTGTCATGTTACTGAGTAGAAAGCCACTGATATCGGGAAATAGGCTACCATACATATTATTTAAGAAGTCTTTTTATAATAATTTTCTGATTACGTAAAAATGAAAATATAAAAGAAAAAGGCACGGGCATGTTGTGACATGTCACAGATGTAAAACACTTGCCTTAGTTTTTGCTTCTTTCATGGTTTATCTGGACATTATAAATGTAAGCTTGCATTTTCATTAAAAAATAAATTTATTTAAGTTGTAGTTGTATTATTTGAGTAATATTATAAAATTAAGCTTCATATTTATCAACAGTGGGATTAGATCTTTTAAATGGTGTATGATATGTAGTAGCAATAATGCTTTATAAGCTGATATTTTTCTTGATAAACATAGGCTCCATCTATGACCTCAGAGTCTCTGGGAACTCGGTGTCATGGCAGCAGTAAAAGCCTCTGGTTGACTGGTGTTAAGCATGCTGAAAGCCTATGATCATGGGTTCTGGCATGTTGGTTCTGTATAGTAATGACTATTGGTTGAACATGTTACATTTGGGTTGGGGGCGGTGGGGTAGCCTAGTGGTTAAGGCGTTTGCATGTCAAACTGAAGACCCAGGTTTGATTCCCCACATGGGCACAATGTGTGATACCCATTTCTGGTGTTCTGGAATATTGCTAAAAGCAGTGAAAACTAAACTCACTCACTCAGTAAGGTACAGATTCTAGTATGTTTTTGTTAGGTTGAACCCTTACTCTGAGCCAGGCATTTATTCGCCAGTGCTGAGTATCATTGCTATGAAGTTGTGTGTGAGCCGGCGTTAATGTTGTGATTTCAGTGAAATACACAATGCCATTTTGATTTCAGGCGGACAAGCTATTGTCTCAGGACTTCAAGGGGATGTTGGACAACATTATCAGCCATCTACCACCCGACAGACAAATCCTGCTCTACTCGGCTACTTTCCCTCTGACTGTGGAGCAGTTTATGGTCAGTATGACTTCAGCAACCTCAGAACCTCTCCTTATGATACAATACAACCATATAGTGATTTGTGTTGCCTATGGACACTTAGATACGGGGGAAGAATTGGCCTTCGGCAACCTAAGCTAGTCGTCCCTTACGACTAACAGGATCAGGTGTTCAGACTTGCTGATTTAGTTCCCACAATGTCATTGTGTACCAATTGCATAGATCAATGCTCATGATATCAATTACTGGATTGTCTGGTCCAATTCGATTATTTACAGACCACTTTCATACAGCTGAAATATTGAGTGTGGTGTTGAACAGCGAAGAAACAAGCAAAAGCTGCAAATGTTCTGATTTTCATTCATATTTGTTACATAATTGCAACTGAAATTTAAAAATCTATGAACGATAGCTCAACATGACATGTAAGTCAGTGCAAAATCATGAAGACAGTCAAAATGTTATTTTGAATGCCAATATTGGACATTAAACGAATTCATCTGGAAGTTGCCGTAGCTCAGTATCAACTGAATAGATCTTGATTCAATTAGCATAAAATGCTTTTGTATATTCATATATGCCCAAAAAAAGAATTCTGACAATGGGTAATGGTTGAAAGACATACCTTACGTTGAAAATGTATTCTTACATAACACTTGTCTGTATTGCAGAGGAAACACTTGAAAACCCCCTATGAGATTAACTTGATGGATGAACTCACACTGAAGGGTGTAACACAGTATTATGCATTTGTACAAGAAAAACAGAAGGTTCACTGTCTCAACACATTATTTTCAAAGGTAAGTCCATCATTGTTTCTCAATATTGCCGATGTGACTTTAAATCTTAACTCACTCACTCATTGTTTCTCAAAGTGGAGTTGTGGAGTGACAGATTTGAATCAGATTGCCTGAATGACTACTAGTAGGTTTGACACACAACCGGAAATGTTTAATTTAGATTCTGCCTTTGAATATCTTCATGTACAATGTCAAATCAATCCTGAAAGTAAATATGTTTATTTTGGTTTGAAAAAAACCCTGTTAAAAGGCATTCTTAGGCCAGGGCTCAATACATATGCCAACTTATAATTTAGGGAACTGGGTGACGTTCCTCAAAATGTTCATAGCTCAACGTCATTCTCTACTGAGAATGTGACAAACTATACAGTTACGATAACTGTATTTTTACGAACGCTTTGTGGATTCGGACCCAGGTCTTTCAGCTGAGAAATTAATAATCCATAATGTTGGATTGCTAATGACCACATTCTGCCATGGTACCCTTTATATGAGTGTTCAATTTGGTTAGGTAGTGAGTTGTGATAGTGCCAACATTAACCAGAATGAATGCCTGGCCCTTAGACTATATTTAGACCTATTCAGAAACTGATATTTGGCTTCAACTTGGCTGCAAATTGTGAAAAGTAAGTTTTGTTACTAGTCCTCATAAGAGGTTTTGCAAATAGTTTTCAATATTTGACATGGGTATTCTGACTCCATTTAATGATGATTAACTTCAGTTCTGCTACTGAGAATATGTGCTGATGTTACTAACACTGAAAATGGAGATTGAGGCCAGTTACAGTGTTTTCTGTGACTGTCAAATCTTGGCAAGGTCTTGGTACAGATGTTTTTTGTGTCACTGATATAGTACATGCTTGAAGGTTGAAATGTTGGTTAAATTATTGAGAAAAGATATATAGCTCTCGAAATCATTTCAGTCCAAGTTATTTTAGTCAATAGACAGGTTAATGACCATTCTCAAATACTCATGGTTTTAGTGTTAGGTACTGTTTTACCAGGAATTAGGGCATCAATTTGGATATCTACAACTAGGCCAACTTATTCACAGGGTCCCCACAACTTTATTCTTATTTGACATTTCAGTAATGATATACCGACTGAAATGTATCATGATATATAGTTTGATTTGTAATAGTCAATTTCTCTGTGTATTGATATAAATTATGTATAGTGACTTTGCAGTTATTCAATAAAATGCTAAATTTGAACTAGGCGATCAATTAAACGTTTAACATGATTCCTTTGAAAATGACACCTTCCTTTTCATTCTCCTAATTAAATTCTCAGGTTTAAAGAATGAGCTATTTGGGGTAACCTTACTAAGTACTGTGCATATGTCTCAGGTACCCCAAAGAATACTTTATGTACCTAAAATATGAAGAAAAAATTCCGTTTTGTGATGATCATCTTCAGTTCTGCTACTGACATACAGTGCTGAATTACCAAGGCTGAAAATGGAATTGGAACATTTAAATTCTGTATCGTATTCTAGGGACAAGGGACTTAGTTCCACTACAATTGAGGCATTTTCTACTGACTATTGACTGCTAAATAATAGAATGGTGAACATATGATCAATTTGTCATATGTGCCAGTGTGAAAGTAAGCACCAAAGTAGAGGAGTCCCTGTCATGTCCGGAATGTAATGATGATTTAGGGGTCCTTAGATTCAAATACTATTACAGCAAACCTCAAATACTCCAGTAATCCATCCCACCCCCACCGTACATTTTAAGACATATCAGCCACAGGGTGTATAACCCATGTTTATCGGCAGGTCTTTTCTTAAACCCAATCGAATTGGTTTTTTTGTGGCAGCTAGTCCCTCTTCATTATCAGTAGTCTTACTTACATACTGCTGGTCTACTAAAAGTGGGACCGCCTCCGTGGTGTAGTGGTTAGAGTGTCCACCCGGAGAGTGTACGGTCGCGGTATCGATCCCCGACCGCGTCACACCAAAAGACGTTAAAATATGGTACTTGTTGGTCCCTGTCTGGCGCTCGGCATTAATGGGTACAATAAGGACTGGTCGGCTTGGAGTCAGTATAATGTGTCTGAGTGGGGTATTCATGCTTCACTGCGGCATGGTATCTCAGTGGGCTAGCACTATAAAACCAGCTTCAGTCTGGGCTAGTACAAGCAGCCGCACATACACATACACACGCATGCACGTCATCATATGAGCGAAATATTCTCAAGCATGACGTAAAGCCCAATTTCGCCTACCTCACTAAAATGTGAATTTCGAGATGACAGTCCAGTTGCACTAGGTGATTGTGGTAGAGCTATGATTGCGTTGTTTGACGGAGCCCTGATAACTTCAACCCTTCAACCCTGTTTGCAGTAGAACCTTACTTTGCCTTCTGTTTATGAAGATTCAGACTCCATTTAATGATGAATACCTCAGTTCTGCTACTGATGCAAACTGCTGATAGTACCAACACTGAAAATGGAGCTTGGTTCTCACATTGTTAAAATTAATGTTCACATTTTTGTTGGTTCACACATTGTTAAAATTGGTGTTCACATTTTTGTGACAGTGATAAAACTTGTTATGTTCGTGGATGGCAGTTGTCAAAACATATATGGGACACATTGAAAACTGAAAACATTATTTACCACTACTGTTTACAAGAGGTTATTTTGACAAGGACCTCTCTACACCTGCCCAGTGCCCTATATTTGATCCTATATAGGCACATGACTGTAAAACTTCATATTTTGAATTAATTTGATTTAGAGCTTACCCAAACCAGAACAGTTTTATAGCCCTCTACTTGAAAATTTGTTTCCTCAATTTGCCTGCTAAGGGCACTTATTATGGAATCCAACATTAATCCCAAGGTCAATAGTCTCTAAATTTTCTAAGGTGTGGTGTTCTTAATCTGCTGGTTCAGACACATAGCAATGTTTTATTCTATTGAACATTTAGTATTCTTGCTTTGTTATAAGAAGAAAAGGTAAAAACACAAACTTTTTTCAGAAACTGCCTAAATTGAATCTTGAAACATCTGGAAAAAAAATCTTAAAACATCTTTAGTTCTCTTTTTGTCTCGGTAATGTCTTGTCTTAATTCTTTTTTCATGGATTCCCAATTCTTGTAAATGAATTCTGACTCCATTTAATGATGAATACTTCAGTTCTGCTACTGAGACAAACTGCTGATATTACCAACACTGAAAATGGAGTTTAAGTGAACAGAGTTGAACTTGGCAAAATGTTCCTTATGTAAGTTACAACCACACAGTTGGAATTGTTGCGACAGGAATCGAACGTCTTGCTTGTCATGGTTGGTGATTGTCACTTGTCAAAAGTTATACACCTCTACTGGATCCTGTTGTTCTCTAATCAGGTACAATCTCAGTGGATGTTGAAGTATTCCTGGGTATGTCATTTGTACAACTTCATTGATGTAATATGTGAATGTGTCTTCTCTGAGATTGTTTTTGAATTGAACATAAAATAACATGATGAAATGTGAGGAGGAATGACATGTATGACCAAGACAAATAACTATTGGTCTCTATATATTTCTGTGGATTGAACTAGCTATGTTCATATCAGAAGCCCAGTATGGGAACCACTGTTATAGAGGCACGGATAAATCACATTGCTGTTAATAATCACTTCTTCTATACGAGCGAAAGATATTTTCTGGCTCAGGGAATGTATGGATGATAAAAGTTGATTAATTTTAATTTTAATTGAGTTGGGTAAAATACTTCCGCTCAGGTTTTTCATGAGATTGAAAATACTTGGATTTGGATTTTTAATATTGTAGAAATCTTTTATGGCCTGTTCATAAAGGACACTCTGAAACAGGAAACTTGACATGGCTCTACATGCTGTTTGTTAGCAAGGAGTTTCGGAACAAGAATCTTGGAATTGCCTATGGAAAGGTGTTTTGATCTGCTAGTTGAGAAATTTATGAGAATTATTTCTTCTGTAATGAAAACATAGGGTTAATTTTTCATGTACTGCCTTCATGCAATCTTAAAATTTGAAATATGTGTTTGGTTGCCTGTGTAATTTTGCTTTCTTAACTTGTATTTATCTGGTACTTTTCGTTTGGCTACCTTCTGTTGGATTAAATTAATTCAAACTCCATTTAATGATGAATACTTCAGTTCTGCTACTGAAACAAACTGCTGATACTACCAACACTGAAAATGGAGTTAAAATTCACATTAAGTGGAAACTTGTGAACTCGTTCTTTGTTAGAAAACTATTATCAGTGATCAAGTAACTTGTGCAAAAGTTAGTTATTTTACTGTAACTTACAAGCTGTGGTTTAGCCAACTTTCTAGCTTTGGCTTCAGACTAGATGGTAACAATTAAATATCTAGAAAGATGTTGGAACACTCCTTCAGATCATCATACCAAAAGACGTTAAAATATGGTACATGTTGGTCCCCTTCCTGGCGCTTGGCATTAATGGGTACAACAAGGACTGGTCGGCTCGGAGTCAGTATAATGTGTCTGAGTGGGGTATTCATGCTTCACTGCGGCATGGTATCTCAGTGGGCTAGCACTATAAAACCAGCTTCAGTCTGGGCTAGTACAAGCAGCCGCACATACACATGCATGCACGTCGTCATATGAGTGAAATATTCTCAAGCACGACGTTAAACCCAATTTCACCTCGCCTCAACTCCTTCAGATCCCTAAGGAGATTCAATCTATGATGACAGAAATCCCAAGTACCTGTTTGAAAGAGTGAAAAAAATGAGAGCTTTTCTTTCAGTAGAAACATTTCCAATGTTGGAATGTTTGTTTGATCTGTTTCAACATTTCCTGTTTCAGCTCCAAATCAACCAGTCCATCATCTTCTGTAACTCGACAAACCGTGTGGAGCTGTTGGCCAAGAAGATTACAGAGTTGGGTTACTCCTGCTACTACATCCATGCCAAGATGAACCAGCAACATCGTAACCGTGTGTTCCACGACTTCAGACAGGGGCTCTGTCGCAACCTTGTCTGCTCAGGTACTTGCTGCAGCTTCTTGTAGTACCAGGGTCAATGACTCTTGTAAGCCCATTGTTAATGTATGGCAGTTACATTCATTATCATGTTAAAATCGCTTTGTGCAAGTGGACTCTACTGTTAATTCCCTGATTGGGAGCATTTCAAATGCTTCACCCTTAATTCTCAGATTGGTAAGGGGGCGACTATTTGGATTGGGTGGCCTTCGCCAACTTGATTTATGCATCTCATCATATCCTGTTTGCGTAGGACCCGTGAAGATCTGGGTTAAAATTGATCTTCAGTAATCCATGCTTGTCGTAAGAGGCGACTAACAGGATCGGGTTTTCATGGCTTGATGACTTGGTTGACACATGTCATCATATCCCAATTGCGTAGATCGATGCTCATACTGTTCATCACTGGATTGTCCAGACTCAATTATTGACAGACCACCGCCATATAGCTGGAAATTGCTGAGTGTGGTGTAAAACTAAACTCACTCACTGATTTAGTAGATTGGTGCTCATGGTGTCAACCACTAGATTGTCTGGTCCAGATTGTTTATTTGTAGAACAGTCACATAGCGGAGTCTGACCTTAAACAACAGATGTTACAAAAATAATCCTAGGAATGGGGGTCAGAATGTCCGATGTGTTTGTATTTCACTGTTATACCCATGCTCATGGGTTTTACCAAAGTGGTAATGCTGCATCTCTTCAGGTTTCTCCTCAACTCACCTCCTCAACTCACCTCCTCATATACAGTGAGGTAAATGACATGCCCCTTGAAGTGGTCTTGCTGAAATTTTGCACACGTTTTCTACCATTTCAGATCTGTTTACAAGAGGTATTGACATTCAAGCTGTCAATGTTGTCATCAACTTTGACTTCCCGAAGCACGCAGAAACATACCTCCACAGAATTGGTCGATCAGGAAGATACGGCCACCTTGGCGTGGCCATAAACCTGATTACTTATGATGACAGGTAAATGTGGTAGTAGTCTTCTGGTTGCTAGAGACACGGTAGGGAATATCAAATCAGCTTAATTTTGGTAAATAACACATTTGGGTGATTCCCATTATATTTTTAGTAACTCGAGTCAGTACGGTAAATTATCAGACCTAATATCTGTTGTACAACACATGACCATAATTTCTAAGGGGGAAACTTTCACATATATGGATTATTCTCAGTATTATGATTCTCTAAAAACACTATGGTCTACTTTTGCATTACTTTTACTCTCTATAATATTTCTGTTGAGATAATATACTGTGTTTACTTGTGTGTGAAATAGCTGGGTATGCTACTATCCTAGTCATCACAGTGATGAGTTATGCGTTGACCTCGAGGGGTCCTTGTCATAACTGTAAAGTTGGGAATGAGGTTAAGGGACTAGCGGAACATCCCAAGGAGCCCACAGCCTTGATAATTTTGAACCCTGCCTCCTCATTCACCTGTTTACACATCTATCTTTCAGATTTGCATTACACAAAATCGAGCAAGAACTGGGCACAGAAATCAAACCAATTCCCAAACAGATTGACCCCTCATTGTATGTGGCAGAGTATGGGATGGAGAGAGAGGACGATGATGATCCGAGCACAGGGGCAACAGCTGGGGGCAACTGAATCAGCCACCGTCCAGCCCCGCCCTCTCCCCACCTCCAACCCTCCCTCCCTCCATCCCTCCCTCTGTTGACTACAGCAAATGCCAAACAATGTATATAGACTTGTACCTATCACACGAAGATGCAGCAGAAAATGCAGCAGCAGTACCACACCCAAGCCTGATCTAGCGGCAAACAGTGGGTAAATCAAGCCATTGTCAGCGCTGGAGTGCTCTTTGTTTTTGTTTATTTTATTATTTATTACTGTAATCAAGGCTGATGCCATGTCTGAGTGCAACTTCCAGTTTTGATGTTCAGCTCATGATTACAAATTTGAAAGATGTCACGATTGCGTTTTGGATGACTTGAAGACAAAGCCATTGCTGGAAGTACGAGGACAGTGTTTCTTGTTTGGAGCTGTTGAGTTTTACTTTCTGTGTATGCTGAGTGCTGTCTGCTTGTTAAGACAGGAGTAAGGTTTGAAAATGTGCGTTCAAATGGTGCTCATTTGTTTCTGATGGTTTAGGATTGGGTTGTGTTAGAAAAACTTAGGGAAAAAACTACGAGAAGACTAGGATGGCCTGTGAATTAAATGCTTTCTTGAGAAAAACTTGTGAAACTGGAATCCTGGTACAATCATACACGCAAATTGAAAAGTTTGCTTGTGAAAAGTTGAACTTTGTGGCAAATGCCAGGTTTGATATGGATCTGGATTCCCACAGGCGAAGTGTCTACAATCTGAGCCCTTGCATTTTCCCTGATACCCAGCTCTCCATTGTTTCAATTACATTGACTCAATTTGAAGCAGTACTGTACATAAAATACTTTGCAGCCATGGAAATATCATCAGAACTTTCATCGCCCTTTATCATAATCCTCATTCATTGTCAGGAATTAAATCCCATTTCACATTAACTCATCCGTACCGATTGCCTGGTTCATAGAGAGGAGGGATATGCTAAAAACAGGCCTCTTGCATGTCATTATGCAGAGGGCTTAATAACTTGAGACAAAAGATATTGCACATTGATGTAAATGCATCATGGTGTTGCATATTTCAAACTGCACGTTGAAATGAGGGCTGTCAGTTTGCCCTTAACAACCACTACTTGCCCATATGAAAGCAAAATGCACTGAATATGATATGCGTTGACGACCACATAGTCTTTACTGTACAAGAGCTGTTCTGATGTTAAAAGTAACTCAGTGCGATGAATGAAAAACAATTTCTCAGACATGGATGTGGCCTGTGTTTAGCATTGCCTTGCAGTGAGCCAGCAATATTCACTAGAAGGACATGGGTTTCTGGGGATTTAAAGAACATGCAGGTCACAAGTTACCTAAAAAATATCAGCCTTGACATGCCAGTTATTTGTCATAAGTCCACTGACATAGATTTGACTGTTCTAATGTTCTGTTAAGATTTAACCTTGGGCTGACCATTATTCATTGAAATGCCGAAGTAATTTAAGCCATGTGATGAAGGTTTGAAAACTGACCTGGCGTCCAATGCTATGTGGTGTGAGGATTGATGGCTTCAGATGGTTTTGCAAGAACTGCAGGGGATCTGTTTGAAGTTGATGTGAAATGTGATTTAGTTGTGCTTTTGTATGGTGGAATTGTTGACTAAAGAGCCGTGTTTGATTATGAGCCTGATATGAACAAGTGTTGACAATTCTGCCATTTAGACAGATCACCTGCCTCCCCGGACATTGGTTCTGATGAATTTTCCACTTCTAGAGAGTTTGTAATATATATTTTTGTACAGACAAATTCTCATGTTGAGGGACTTCCATAGCAGACTGACTGACCCAGGAATAACTGGATTTGTGGCGGTGGTGATGCACACAAGTGTTGCCTCAAGTACTGGCAAGCAAATCTGAAATGAGATAGGACTCCTGAGCCAGTACCTAGGGCAGTGTGCACTGTGCATTGCATGCTGAACAAATCTGCTGCCTCCTGCTGAGATATGCCAAGGTACCATTGTGTAAATATTTCATGGAAGTCGGTTCATGACCTACATATCACTTGATCATCGTGTATTGTGTGAAGTGAGCAGGGTGCACAGCTCTGTACGAACCAATCTGTGTGAGAAGGCGACAGTTCAATGGTAATATGCTGTCGGTACACTGGAAATGGATTCTTGTTCATCGTGTTCATTCCAGTATTGACATCGAGCACCATGTTTTCATTGCATATGTTACGACTGAGTGATGGAGACTGTTGACTAGCTGAAGTCCCAGGAAAACATTCAACTTCATTGACACTGTACAGTTGGTGTAGAAATCAATGTGTCATGGCTGTGAGGCCATAAGTCATCGTCGTCCATGCAATACATTGTGAGGATAGAGACCTCTTATCGCTGGTGAGCAGCCAGCAGCTGAGTCAGGTTTACCAAACACTGACCAGACCGTGTGAGAGGAGTAAGCAAGGCCAGGCCAGTACTCGACATAAACAGGACAGATGTAGTGCTGAACAGCTATCTTCTGACAGGGATGTGATCATGAAATGGCTAAGAGACAACAAATCACAAAACTCTTCAAAGAGACAACGACTCTTGTGTCCCAGTGCTGATAAGCTACTCTTTAACAAGGGTGACCAATCATTGTCAACACTGGGGACAAACTACCTCTCATCTGTATGCTACAACATAGATGGTATTCTCGTTCCATGTGACAACTTTACTACACAAGTCCAGTTCAGAATTAAGTCTGAATGGTATGGAAGACATCAAGCTGAAGACCTGTTGCTTTGTCCATGATTGTCGAATGTCTTATGTGTAAGATAGTCATTTTTCAGGTTCGGGCAAGGATGTCTCAAGAGACCTCTGTGAAATGTGTACTGATGAGAGGTTTGTGTCCAGGTCCCACATCTTGGTCCTCTGACAGCTGTGTTGGAGCTGTCCTTGTGGGTGAGCTTGACCACCGCAAGTAGTTTCTCCACATGTACCACGATGGTTGACCCTTTAGCAGGGCAGTTAGTGGACATGCTGACCTTCATGGACAGAACCTGCAAGGACTTTCATGACTGAAGAATGGGGCGTGAACATGTTTAACTTAAGTAAAAAACACCATAATGCAGCTTACAGGTGACGTGAGATATTTGGTCATGTCAGTCCATCCTTGAGAGATGACCATGCTTCATTAAACATCTTGTTACAAAGATGTATAAATTGTGAAGCATTCACTAAGCATTGCCGGTCATCACAGAAACACACTACTTCAGTCCTTTCAAATTCCGTAAAACAATAAAATGAGAATATTTTTACTATTTGGAAGCTTGACTTTAGTGGATTGTCATGACTGACTAATCTCTCCTTGCCTGGAACTGCATTACTTAAATTCAGAATTATATCCAATTTTTATCCCAGGCTGATAGGCATCATATACACTTGATAAGATTACGAAAATCAAAACGTTTGAGCCTATGGCTGAATATGTCAGATACTTGTGTGTAAATATATATACTGTGGTGATCAATAAGGGAACAAAGCAGTAGTAAAAACACTCATGAAATCCTAAAGAGTTGCGAATAACTAGACCTTTCATTTGTCTCACTTCATATGAGGCATTTGTACTGGACTCCACTGTTCCCTTATTTTTCACCATCAATATATGAAAATAATCGGTGGAAACAAAAGAACTTGATAGTTTCATCTACAGTCTGGGATAGATGGGTAACTTTTGTTGATTGTTACAGAAAATACAAACAAGCAAAAAAAAAAACAACCTTTTTTAAGTGTTACCTGAGAATACGGATGTATGAAACAGTCGGATATTTCTCGAATCAACAGTGGCGATTGCCAAAATAACGTTATGTGAACACAGTTGTGACAGATGCTGTTGGGAAATGATAGTGTTGATTTCTAGAAAGATTTTATTGCTTCATCATTCAGTTTGGACATCAATGAAAGCTTTGAAATTAACATGAAAAAAAGGGAAAATAGTTGTCCAAAAATATGGTCCATTGTTTTAGTAGACCCACCCTGTATGTTTGTTGTACAAGTCTGTCACAATAACATGCAGAAATCTTAAATTTTATTACTGCAGGGCCATATGTGTAAATTCAAAGTTATTTATTTGGTTTCAATTTAGAATTAAACTTTGAAAAATTTTCAAGTCACAAGTCTGATCAATTTCATGGTAATTACAAAGTTCAAATGTTGAATGAAATTGATAGATTTGTGATTTCTTTCTGCCTGTAGAGGCATATTGTGTTAGCGTGTCAGCAAGCATCTACAGGCTTCCTAGATCCTTAACAAACCAGAGGTGTTGACTATACAAACCTTTTTCACTGAAACAAGAAAAACTAAACTAGGAATCACTGCCTCTTAGGTGCTTGCTGGCATAGCATGGAGACTAGGTCTCTACCACATTTGGGCTACCTTGAGAAGTTTCATTGACCACAAAATTATCAGCTAGTTGTAATCAGATGCAGTGATATGACCTTGCCTTTGTCTTGCGTCTGGAAAATCTAGGTCCTTAAAAATCAAGAGAAGTTGTCAGCATTGTGCTTGAGCTAGATTATGTTCAGTTTTGTGGTCATAATACTTTTCAAGGTTGTCCTTATAGGCAGCTGTGATACTGCCTTAGTAACCATGGTAACATTCCTTTTGATGTTGCCATGGTGATGCTGAACTGATCACATTGCATAGTTCTCCTGCTCTCTATCAAAGTTACAAAATTGCGAGCAGACGTCAAATCCTTGTTTTTGACAGGAGGAGCATGAAAAGAGACGGTTGGTATTGCCAATATTAACAAATGTGCTGGGTTGTTGTGTTTATGCTCTTGAAAGGATGTCAAGTGTTTTCAAAAAGAAGGAAAATCGTGCCCCATTCCACAAAGTGAATGCTTGGACTGAAATCTGGTGAACTAAAGTTTCAACAGTCTTCGCAGTACAAATGCTTTGTGGGACGGGTCCCTATAGTTTTCGGTATGTCCGTTAGGACGTTCATTGTCAACACTGGCGTAAATATTACGATTTTGGAGACGGTTTGTGTGATGTGGTCAGTTCACATTTATTGCAAGTTGAGGGATGTTAAGGCTTAAGGCCATGTTTAAGGGAAGGGAGTAACAATTGTTGGGAGGGTGGGACTAAAAAGGAAAAATAGCATCAACATGAAATTTGCTGGAAGATCAAGTCTGATGTAAGATTTATTTTTAAATGGTACATTCCCAGTGTTTTCTGAGGGTGTCGAATGAACCAAGATGAATCCCATATCTATCGATCAATGAAACTTATGGTTTAAACTTTCGAGTTTTTCATATTTCCCTTGAATTCCAGCGTGAAGAAAGAATCTAGGAAATAGAATTGTTGCGTAACAATTTCATGAGCTAACACTTCTGTACAAGGATGTAACTTGATATTTTTATGCAACATTCTAACTCTTGCCAAGGTTCTTTTTTCAGATGTTTGACTTGAGATGTTGATGAGCTGTTTTCAACAGTTAACAAACCGTTTTTGAATGACGTTTTATGGGGGCTTTTTTTTTTTTTAAAGGTTCAAGGGTAGATGACAACTTTCTGGTTTAAATTTCATCTCGATGCCACACAGAAAGGTTTTCATGCACATGAAGTCCATTCTGTATGTCTCGGAGGTGAGTCTTGGCAGGTCAGATAATAGTCATTAGATCACTTTTTATACTGGCCCACTCACAGTTGATCTCGATTGCAACAAAACTGAAGATAACTTAATATATTTACAAACATTGATTTATGGTAAGTCTATTAGAAATTTTATTTGTCAAGTCCTGTAGCCTTTCATTTATAAAGTTGCATGCATCTGAACTAAACCATTGCATTGAAACACTGGGGCAATGGGGTAGCCTCGTGATTAAAGCGTTTGTTCATCTGGCCAAAGGTCATTGTTCGATTCCCCACAAGGGTACAATGTGTTAAGCTCATTTCTGTAGTTCCCCCACCGTGATATTTGCTGGAATATTGCTAAAAGCTAAAAACAATACTCACTCACTGGTACTACAGCTTCTCAAGTGCTAGGAAGATTACCTGATGAAACTGAATTAGCGTCACGTGTTGTAGGAATAGTTTGTAACCGAGTGGCATTCAGTCGAAAAAGTGACACCAGATACTTATTAGTGTTGGGAATTGGTTAAAATCTCATAATTGATGATTGGTTCATGACAACCGATCAATCATCGAAAATAATTGGTTAGTGTCATTTATGAAATTTTCCTGTTTGCACAAAAACATGAAGAAAAAATTTGTAGTTCTTTGGTTGTTTTTTCCACAAATTTCACATCTTTAAAGGATGACTAGTATGTTAGGAACATAAATCTCTTGGTGTCTTTAAGATAAATTCAATCATGACTTGGACCGAGCTTGTAGTGCTTAAGAAATGTAACAGACAAAACCAACCTTGTGAAAAAAATTGTTGATGCAAAAGGTGATCCAGAATTGTTTGTATTCGATTATGAGAAAACGTGATCGATTGCTTGGTCGTTTAGTCTCTGCGACCAATCTTCGATTATTTCAATTAATCGGACCACCACTAATACTTATATAGGTTCAGTGTCAATATTGTGAGTGGTAACAGAGTGGCAGAAAACTGTACAGCAAGAGATGAAATGCTTATTATCTGATCTGCCCGATTCCTTGCTTCTCTAAAAGGCCTTCGCACCATGTCTTGAGTCTAATGATCTTTTGTAGTGTTGTCATGGCAGGTAGTGCATAGCATGAGATTGAGAATTTGAAAAGTATAGGTTAAACTGCCAACCACCTGGCGACATATTGCTTTGAAATATACAGTCCATGGGTCCCATATTGCTAAATCATAGGGTCATTTGGGTATTTTTACAGGGGTCATTGCCCTGGGTCCCTTGGCAATCTGAACTATTAAACTGACTGCAGCATACATAGTAGTTAATGATAGCGGCTGCAGTTGTTTCAAGTCTCACATGGTCCTTCAGGATTTCTGTGTAGGAACCGTTGCTTGCTATCATACAGGATGCTTGCTCATATGGATTCCACTTCAAATTTTCAGTAGTTCTGAAGGATATTGACAATTACAGGAGACGTCTATTTTTCTGGTTGACAAGTAGTTTTCCTATGATATATTGGCCCTATAGCAATTTAATGTGAAATTTAATTCAACTTAGTCCAAAATTGTTACTTTTATCTCAAATGTTGCTTTATTTTGAAATCCATATTATTTTCTGCCAGTATTTACTGTCCTGTTTTGAGGCGTTTCATTAGAGTTACTGTTTTATGTTTTAATTACTACAAGAGATTGGTTTAGTGATTATACCTCTTGTGTGTACGTCTATGCTGAGATGGCGAAATCGTTTAAAACACAAATGAATTTAAGTGTTTTCTACCATACATCCCTCTGCTGCACCAACACCGGATTCCACCCAAAATTTGCCAAATATTGACAGGTAGTCAATCCGTTCTTCACCCTGAACAATCTTCCAGACAATTTGTGAACTGTCGTAGGTCTGTTAATCTATTATACAGGCGGTTATAGCACACAAAAAATATTCAGGGAACACTATGATGGGGAATGTTTATTCAGAAAATATTGTCTTAGTGTAAGACATTACTGGAGAGTTAGACAGGCAACAGTTGGAGATTGTTTTGTTAGTATCTAGTCCTGGAATGATGTTACGTGCAGCAGTAGTGATGTATCTGTCCTATATGTACACACTTTTGTCTCTGTCCATTGTCAACGTTGACTCAAGTGCCTTAATCGTCAAGACATGATGCAGATGCTGAATAAACTCTTTTTTTTCCTTTCTACGAGTATTGATTTCTTTTTCATGGTTCAAACCGAGTACTGTCATCGGTTCCCAATTGCGCAGATCGATGCTCATGCTGTTGGTCAGTGGATTGTCTGGTCCAAACTTGAGTATTTACAGAGCACCACCATATAGCTGGAATATTGCTGAGTGCGGCGTAAAACTAAACTCACTCACTCAAACTGAGTACAGTGGGTAGTTTTGTTGATGGATTCTCGCTGAAGTCCCCATACCCCAGTATTGTTCATCGTCTTTTTGAGCATTTCTTCAGAGAGAAGGTTGGTTTGATCCTTGGTACTGTCATACCAAAGATGTGTTACCCTGCCTGGCACAGCATTCAGGGGATAAAACACACACTTTCCGTCTTGGGGTCAGTATTATGTGTCTGAGTGGTGTGTCCATGTCAACTGTAGCCAAGTGGTTAAAGTGTTCGCTTGTCACACCGAAGACCTGGGTTCGATTCCCCTCATGGGTTGAAGCCCATTTCTGGTGTCCCCTGCCATGATATTGCTGGAATATTGCTAAAAGCGGCGTAAAATACACACTCATGTCAAACTGTGACATGATGTACAAGTTGGCTGGCACTATCAAACAGGCACATAGCTATAGAAGTACAATTATCTTGAATGCAACACAACCCTATCTCACCACACCTAGATACTGCCAGTTTCCATTCCAGGTTATTTACAGGGCTCACTTGCACAAAGCGATCTTAGCGCGCTACAATGATTGTAACTCCCATTCTCCAACATAGGCTTAAGGTAGTCGTAGCGCTAAGATCGCTTTGTGCAAGATGTAGTGAAAAGACATGTTGTGGCTGAGGTTGGTGAAGAAAGCCTGCCTTGAGCGAGCTAAGACCATGTGACAGCTCATTTTTGGTCCATGAATGTATTTGGCACTATAAAAAAGTGTTTATGTTCCCTGAGCCCCGTGGGACCAGTGTACAACGTATTTATCTTACCGAACACCTTAATGTTAATTTTGAATTGTTTGAAGCACCGGTACAGATCTTTTTGTAGCCATCGCTAGATTTTGCTGACAAGAAAAACTGATTTAGAGTTATCTCCCTTCCATCGATTTGCATTTGCAAAACATCGGTAATTTCTGTACATGATACGTGATTCAATGTAATTCGAGATAAATAATTACTACCACGAAGTACCAAATGAGTTGCCATTGACAGCGGGGTACATTGAAAATAATAGAAGAGCGCTCAGCCAATCAGAAAGCGACATTTATGTGTGAGGTAAGATAAATACCGAATATAAATGGACTGCACCAGGCACAATATATTGCATTACTGTTGTTGACTATTTTCAATTTTATACACCCAAAACAAATGCTCTATAAGTTAAAAGGTCAAGTTCAGCTATATATACTGAATATAAATGGACTGCACAAGGCACAAATCTCTTTCTCTGAATGGCATGGTCAATGTTCCAGCCATATTACGAGTGAGTGAGTGAGTTTAGCTTTACGCCACACTCAGCAATATTCCAGCTATATGACGGTGGTCTGTAAATAGAGTCTGGACCAGACAATCCAGTGATCAACAGCATGAGCATCAGGGGCGGATATAGCTTTTTGATAAAGGGGGGGTGCACACTATTGAGAAAAGGGAGGGTGCACACTTCATTTTCACCCGAGTTTCAATGGTCATTTAATAAACTTTCTGGACAAAAGGGGGGGGTGCGCACCCCTGCACCCCCCCTCTGGATCCGCCTATGCGCATCGATCTGCGCAATTGGGAACCGATGACATGTGTCAAGCAAGTCAGCGAGCCTGACCACCCGATCCCGTTAGTCGCCTCTTACGACAAGCATAGTCGCCTTTTGTGGCAAGCATGGATTGCTGAAGACCTATTCTACCACGGATCTTCACGGGTCGCCATATTACGAAGCACCATAGAAGGAAACCTGTTTATCTCTCCTTATGTTTACTGATTGCCACAAGAATCTGTCAGATATGGGATAAACATTGTATGGCTGAAGTGCGTCAGGGTAGCCGAGAGGTTAAAGTATTCGCTCGTCGGACCATATATCGGAAATATATCGGGTTTGGTGATTCAACATTTGAAAATAACTAGTTTGTTGTATGAATACAAAATGCCAGTAGAAAAATGACCAAGTGTTTTTATACATTAAATTAGCCTATTGGTTAAAGTGTTCGCTCATCACGCTGAAGACCTGGGTTCGATTCCCTACATGGCTACAATGCATGAAATCCGTTTCTGGTTACCCAGTCGACACGTCATTGTATCCCAATTGCTTAGAACGATGCTCAAGATCTTGATCACTGGATTGTCTGGTCCAGATTCGAATATTTACAGACCGTCGCCATATAGCTGGAATATTGCTGAGTGCGGCGTTAAACAACAAACCAACAGTCATCCGGCTTTCTGTGACCCTCCACGTCTGTCTGTATCTAATGATCATGAAGGAAATGAACATCATAGAACGTTTTGAACACTTCTCCAACTAAAATATTTTGCCTGACATTTATCAGTTAATAACAACACTGAAGGTATTGTGTAGGGAACCTTGTTATATCAAGAATTGATTACTGTAATAGCCTCCTTTTTTGTATTTCTCAGAAGCTTGTATCAAAATTGCAAAATGTCCAAAATACAGCCTCCCGAATCATAAGCAGAACTTCAAAGCGCTCCCACATAACACCTGACATGAAAAACCTCCACTGGCTGCCTGTTAAATCAAGAATTGACTTTAAAATATTGTGTTTTGTCTACAAATGCCTCAATGGCAATGGCCCAGAATACTTGAAAGCACTTCTTACCCCATACACTCCAGAAAGACAGCTCCGTTCTCAGAATCTGAACCTACTCTCTGTGCCTCGGTTCAAACTGCAAACGTTTGGAAGGAAATCCTTTGCCTGCTCTGCCCCTCCACTCTGGAACTCTCTCCCTATCACCATTAAATCAGCAGTTGACTTTAAATCCTTCAAACGACTTCTCAACACTCATCTGTTTTCACTGCGTTTTGACTAGCTACTAGTCCCTCATTGAATATATGTATATTATCCACTCACTTTGTTAGCGCTTTGAGCATAGGCCTTGTGCATGGAAAAGGCGCATTATAAGTTCACATTTATTATTAGTATTATGTTTTACAGATTAAAGATAATATGCAGCAGAGAGGGTTCGGGTGATCCTGGCACAGTCAGGCTGGTAAGGCTCATCATCAGCTCAGGGCCCTTGCCCCCTCTACACGCAGCCCAGACAGCGA